GCGCAGTTAGTGCTGCTAACTGCTAGCTTCGGAGAGGCTAGGTCTCGAGTGGGTTTTAACTCGGCGATAGCTCCGCTCAAGTGAAAGCATATCTCTTTTTATCAGCAACTCCCTGCCTCGGTAGGATATTCGATTGTGAAAACATAATCAATTTTGAAAAAGGAGTTTTTTTTTCTACGGTATTGAAAATTCCTCTTATTCGAAGGACATATTTGGCATTATGCATGATTTTGTTTTTTTTTTTGGCCATCTCCAGTGCAACTCTTATCCTCCCCGCTTATACCTAAACTCTTCTAGAAATCTAGAACTGATGTAGAAGGGCAAATATCATATAGCAATACGACCGACCGTCACATTAGGCGCATTTTTTTCGTCGTTATGACTGGCTAATAGCTGCTACACATTAGTCTGTACTAACTATCAACAAACTTCTTCTAATGCTTCAGATCAACGACCCGAAGTTCCGAGTGGAAGTTATGCCGTTAAACATATAATTTTCTAAGCTAGGATCCCCCCCTAGATATTCATGCAGTATCTACCTAGGTACCTAGCTAGTCGAACTAGGCCAAGACATGGTAATTGAAGGATCCTGGATCCTGGATCCAGCAATACCCCTAAAGCGGACCTAGTCTAGGGCACAACATGGTCCTCTTTTTCTAGAGGAATCGTCCAACTATGTCTGCCTATCTGCTATGCATTGTTAGGTTCATACATGTACCGTATCCATCTGGGGGGGAAAGACATGCCGTCGTCCCCATCATATCCCGCAATCATTCATCTCTTACATGGTGTGGTTCTTTTATAATTACACGAAAGAAGATTAAAAGCTGCGGAATGCACATCTTCACGTCAGCATTTTAACAGCTCTCTATTGGTGAGTTGTATTTTACATTATACCACCTACTACATAATACATTATTTCTTGGCAGAGTACACAAGGCTCACTTTAGGTAATCCTACCTAAAAATCCAAAGTCGTTCCGTTGAAACTCCCGATCCTTCCTTGTCCTGATTAGTGCTTGTGGTGAGGCACTGTACCTGAGTACCTACCTATGTACCTAAGATAAGTATCTAAGTACAGATGTATATCTCCCCTTCCCCGAAGCAAGCACCTCACGGACCATTCTTCTAGGGTGATCCACAGCCGGGTCTGGCTGAACCATGTAAAATATGTATATATGTATGTACATCAGTCCCTGCTCCCGAGGTCGCCAAAGGACCATACGCTATACGGGGGGGCCACACCTACCTTCCATTTGCAACTGCGTACATACAACCCGAGCCACCCACAGGTTCTAAGGTTGTCAATATACGTACATTCTACCTGTAAGTAAGAGGTATTCTACATGGTGACCTTCGTACAATACATACACCTACCTCCATACATACATCACCTGCTACCTGCTCGCACATTGCGAACTTGAATATCTTACTTCTCTTTTGAGATCCACATATCCTGTATCCTGTATCCTGTACCATATCTTGTACCGCCGGTTGTCTAACGATGGGAGCATAGAATAGCTCTTTTTTTTTTCTTCCTTCTTTTACCGACCCCAATAACCCCCTTCTAGTCTTGGCCTAGAGAAGCACCAACTTAAACTAAGCTACATCGACTTTCCCGTGTTGCTCTTTTTTTTCTCCCCCACCATCGACAGAAATAACGGCGGCGAGGAGCAGCTAGCTTAACCTTCAATCTGCAAGGCTGACTCCCGCGACAATTAGGTCGAAAGGACCCCATGTCAGATAATCGGGAGCTAGCAGCAATACCTCGCCCAGAAACAAAAAACTAGAAACGAAAACACTCAGGAGGCCCCTTAAACCGTGCACGATTATGAAATAGAAGCAATGCGGTTCGTGGTTCCGTACTTTCTAGAAATCCGGCCCAGTCCCCGTTCCAGTTCCCCGCCGTAGTCTCGTGTCCCTCTTTGTCAATTTGTCTTGACTGTCTCTAATTTCCAGTTTTATAGTCTTGCCAACTAGTGCATCCTTTTTTTCCCCTACTTAGACCAGATGGACGTTGCGACTGAGAGTGCGCCGCGAAACATACCTATCAACAAGGCTGACGAGAGCATGGGCGCACGTACGGTTCCAATTATTACCACTCCTACGCCGATGCCAACCATAAAGATGTCGGCTCCTTCGCCGTCGGGCGAGCCTATGGATATCACCACGCCGACTAACTCATCAGCTCCGCAAAGTGCTAGGAAGAGCTCCGACGGAGAAGGTAGCGATTCTAATGATCGCCAAAGCATCGCGCTCTCAGGAGAACAGAGCTCGAGCTTCGCTTCGACTACAATGCCTGCGCCTGCTGCCGCGGCTGTTCACCAGCCGAAGATAGTACAGACTGCGTTTATCCATAAACTTTACAAGTGCGTATAGTTCTTACTACGGATGATCGCATAGCTACTAACAGTTTCGCAGTATGTTGGAAGACCCTAACATACAACACTTAATTAGCTGGTCTAGCTCCGCTGAGAGCTTCGTCATGTCGCCTTCACATGATTTTTCTAAAGTTCTTGCGTACGTCTCCAGTCCCGTGCGGCCAACCAATGAGACTAATTTGAGTAACAGCCAATATTTCAAGCACACGAACATATCCTCTTTCGTCCGACAACTAAATATGTACGGCTTTCATAAAGGTATGCACAAGAATATGAGCCCTTGTCGGAAAATCTTAGACGACTAACGAGACGAACACTTCAGTAAGCGACGTATTTCATACTGGATCCCCAGAAACTGCGCTGTGGGAATTTAAACATGGCAATGGAAACTTTAAAAAGGGCGACTTAGTTGGACTACGCGAGATTAAGCGGCGAGCATCTCGTCACACACTAATCCACCGAGACCACCGAGAGTACAGTAGCCAGAAGCCAACCCCGTCGCAGCCCGGCACTCCAGCAGAACCCATGCCACCAATTCATGACGGCTCAGACCCTAGGCTTGCGAGCATTGAGCACTCCTTGTACGAAGTCACGACTAGACTGCAACGTAGCGAGGAGAACGTTCATTACATGAACGTGAAGCAGCAAGCAATGTCGGATGCGATGAATCGCTTGTTGCAGTTAAATCAAGAATTATCTAGAACAGTTCTGAGCCTCGTTCCACCAGAGAATCCCGTCCATAGAGATGGTAAGTTTCATTTTATACAGACAATAAAGGCATTTAATGGTCTAATACGGTTGTAGTTCTTGCGCTACAAGGGGAAATTCAACGCCAGACCGAATTCGTCCGATCCATCGACGAACCACATGAGCCAACCTTCCCGAGTAGCCGCCAGCTCTTTGCAAACCTCGAAAACCCCCCTGTATCTCCTAGGCAGCTAGCTCAGGACGATCAGAGAAGAATAGGGGGATATCCTCAATCTCGAACGAATTTTTACCGACCTCCTGTATCTTCTAATCTCGCAATAAGCTCCTCCAATGTTGCGATAGGCTCACGTCGATCACATGGGTCCATTAGCGGAAGCACAACCCAGTCATCGCCTTCTCCCCTCCGTTCTCAAGCACCGCCACCTCCTCCTGGGCCTCATCCGCTTGCTACTGTTGAACCCCCACCAAGTAGCTTATCTAGACGGCACACCTCGGCCGATATCCGAGCTGCCGGGTGGCAAGTCAACCCGCCGCCGTACATCTCTTCCGGCCCACCTTCGTCTCACTGGCCATCTTCCCCTAATCGAGGCGCCCAAGATGAGCAACGTATCCGCGACCCGCCACCTCATTACTCACTATCACGACCTGCTACTCCACCAGCTCCTTTCTCAAACGGTAGTATCGGAAATGGATTGGAAAGCCTCAATAACTGGTCCTGGAATTCAGCCAACCGAGAAAACAAGAACCTCTCAATCAAAGACATGTCTGCTCCCCCAACCAGGAGGGGAAGCATGGCACACATTCTTAACCCAACCGATACAGTAGAACGAGACGACGAGGACGATCCTCGAGGAGACGACGATCGGAAGCGAAAGCGGATGTAATAATTGGCATTATAGGTCCTTGAATATCCCATATCTTACGTCATGGAAAGCGTTGTCGCACATTATACCACACACGGCGGGACTTTGTTTTTGTATAGAGCGATTGATGCGGAATAAACGAATCTTTTGAAGGATTCGGGACGACACGCTACGGCCATGTTATATGACATCGACTATGCACCTTACGAATTTCCTTTCACTTTTCATAAATTTTCTTTTCTTTCACTGCATTGCTATACTCATTTCTTGGATATTCAAGTTTCCCGCTGAAATACCAAAAAAGCGTCGGCTACATTGAGAATTACTCGGAACGGTTTGGTGATGGTATGGCGATGGGTGAGAAAACACTCACTATATTCCATTCACATAGCAGATCTTGAAATTTGGAGGCTGGGGGGGTCGGATGTCTGAACCAACTTGCCTATTGGGTTTTGTACAACACGGAACATGGGCTTGCTTCTTGCTTCGGGAGGGGGGGGGATGCTGTCGTAATCGGTTGGATAGGAGTCGAGTGGGAACAATTTTCCCCCAATTGCTTCACGCGCAACTACGCTCGCGGAGTCACTAATCATGTACTCTTTAAGAAAGTAGTTTAATGGAGGAGTAAAGGCTTCTTTGCATGCATAAACCGGCCAGGGAGCCGCTGTAATTCCCCAGCAACTTGATCGTATGATGTATCATATTTCGAAGACTCCCTAGTAAGGTCTATTTGGAATTAAATGGTTGGCTTAGAAGTCCCAATTGCAGAGTCGGTCATTTTAAGGGACAGCCACATGGACGATCCAATCTTATTACCTACCCTACTCCCCACCAGTTCCAGTTCCAGTTCCAGTTCCATCCCTTGCCTTCTTTTTCTTTTCCTCTTCCGCTTTTTCTTCGGGTTTTCATCCGATGGGGGTTGATTGGGCTCAATTTTGGGCGCTGCCCCTGCGGGCTCGGCAACCGGGTTTTCCGTTCCGTCCCTGGGACCGTTGATGTGGCTAACTTGCGCTTTGGTACCGTCTGTATCAGCCCCTTGCTCCTTAGGCTTAGGCTCTGAGGGTGCTGCCTGACTCGACATGGTCACTACCGTCGTCGTGCGTCTCCATCTCCGCCCGTGACCTCTTCCCGCTCCTCTTAGCTCGTCCGAGCCCGCTCCGCCCCGCCTCTTCGTCGCTGCTGTCTTCCTTGCGCACCCATTTCTGCTGTCCCTCAGCACCCGCCCCATTTCTCCCTCGTTTTCCTAACAGTCGTCCGCGCAGTCTGGCTGTGTCCCGGTCTGTCCCGCTGGTGTTCTCGTTCCCGGTCGCGGGACTGCGAGTTAGCCCTATACCTGCGTTCGGATCGAGACCGCGCTCCTCGGCAAACTCGGCTTCTTCGGCGGCGCGTCTGGCTGCTGCATCGCGAGATTGGATTTGGGGGTTAGAGGTGCTGGAGCTGCCGCCGAGCGCAGAGAAGGAACCGCTGCCGGAGGATGAGGAGGCGTTGTTGAGATCGGAGCGTGAGGGGAGGAATGAGCGGGCAGCTTTCATGCGCGCTTCGAGCTGCATCTGGATGCGGTTCATGGTGACGGTGAAGTCGGGCGCTGGGTTGCCGGTGGGCGCGGCCTTTGAGGTCGAAGTAGAAGTCGGCGCCATGGTCGTGGAATGGCAGTTAGGTACTTAGTTTATAACTTATAAGAGCGATTACCGGAGGTATTAGCTAGCTAGGTAGCTATACTGTCGCTAGATCATGATTCCCATATTGTGCGCTGCTGTCGTCCGATTTGGCAGCGGACTGTCGCATCGGTATTCAGACGGCAAGGAAAAAAAAGGTAAGGATGAATTGAAGGTACGATAAGATAACAACACAGTGTTAAACAACAAATTATGCGTAGCTTTCACTATACATAGGTACCTACCTAGATACCCGGCACATGGCAAAGTTACATGAAGAATATCCTTACGTAATGCATTAAAAATATGACGGAAGATACTTGATCCAGTCCCCGTGGCACATGCTCGCTGAAGTCATGCAGGAGCATCAGCTGCAAGTTCCATGTACCTAAGCTTCACCGGGCAGAGTGGATCCTATCAGATGAAGACCGGATTTTCCCGTTTTCTGCCGGAAAAGAGCTCTCCCTAATGGCCGGGGCCAGTTGTTCTTGTTTGACGATAGCATCGCAACTTTAGTTGACAAAAAAACTAAAATAAACATCTCCTTTCATCCGTTATAACCGAATAGCTAGTGGCGCTTCGTTTTCCCCTGAGCCATTTAAAAGTCAATTGACCCTCAGACCTAGCTCGTTATAATGTACAGTTTCGCTCGTAGCCGAGCTGCGGCTTCTGCCCTGCGGGCCTCTAAGGTGAGATGATTTGGACGACTTGATTCGAGCTGTCTGCCCTAAACCAGACATATAACACTTTTTTTGTAAAGTATACTAATATATTCATCTCTTATATAGACCGCCTTCTCCCCCGCTACCAGATTCAACGGCATCGCCCAACAACAGCGAAGAAATCTGAGCATTCACGAATATCTCTCAGCCGACCTATTGCGACAGGTAGAAATTAGCGCTCAACTTTTACACTCGAATATATCCTAACACTTTATTCTAGTATGGCGTTAGCGTCCCGAAAGGTCGTAATGCGAAGTCTGCCGTCGAGGCCGAGAAGGTAGCGAAGGAGATCGGTGGTGAGGATATGGTTATCAAGGCCCAGGTCTTGGCTGGTGGCCGTGGAAAGGGTAGCTTCGATAATGGCCTAAAGGGAGGTGTCCGTGTCATCTACTCTCCCACAGAGGCCAAGATGTTCGCCGAGCAAATGATCGGCCATAAGCTTATTACCAAGCAGACTGGTGCGGCTGGCCGCCTCTGCAACTCGGTTTATATCTGCGAGCGCAAGTTCGCTCGCCGAGAGTTCTACCTAGCCATTCTCATGGACCGAGCTACGCAAGGTCCCGTCATCGTCTCCTCTTCTCAGGGTGGTATGGATATCGAGTCCGTCGCCAAGGAGAACCCCGAAGCTATCAACACCGCTTACATCGACATCAAGGTCGGTGTAACCGACGAGATTGCGCGGGATATTGCGACCAAGCTTGGCTTCAGCGAGCAGTGCATCGAGGAGGCTAAGGATACCATCCAGAAGCTATACAAGATCTTCCTTGAGAAGGACGCCACCCAGATCGAGATCAACCCTCTGTCCGAGACCTCTGACCACCAGGTCATGTGCATGGACGCTAAATTCGGTTTCGACGACAACGCCGACTACCGACAAAAGGAGATCTTCTCGTGGCGCGATACCACTCAAGAAGACCCCGAGGAAGTTCGCGCCGCCGAGTCCGGCCTAAACTTCATCAAGCTCGACGGTGACATTGGCTGTCTCGTCAACGGTGCCGGTTTGGCTATGGCTACCATGGACATCATCAAGCTGAACGGTGGCCAGCCCGCCAACTTCCTTGACGTCGGTGGTGGTGCTACCCCCGCTGCTATCAAGGAGGCCTTCGAGCTCATCACTAGCGACGCTAAGGTTACTGCCGTCTTCGTCAACATCTTCGGCGGTATCGTGCGATGCGACGCCATCGCCCACGGTCTCATCAACACCGTCAAGACCCTGAACCTTAAAGTCCCTATTATTGCTCGACTACAGGGCACCAACGTGGAGCAAGCCCACCAACTAATCAACGACTCGGGAATGAAGATCTTCTCTATCGACGACCTCCAAAGTGCCGCGGAGAAGTCTGTGCAACTTTCCAAGGTTGTGAAGTTGGGTATGTTTTTTATTTTTTATTTTTTGTTATAGACTTATATTCCAAAGTGGGATGGATAATGCTAACACTCGCCGCTCGGGACATTGACGTCGGCGTCGAATTCAGCTTGGGTATCTAAGGACGATATGTATAGACACTGGTCCGATAGACTGTACTAACTTTTTCAGGGTTGGACCTCCGGGGTGCGTGAGAATAACGGGGGGGAGGTGTTGTGAAATAGAGCTAGGGGCGGGTTTGTCACTATTGCATGCATTTCGATATTTTCCCTCGCCCTCTTGATTCTCAATGGAATTGCTTTTCCTAATCTAGACTCTGATGTCTTTCTCCTATTCGAATTGTGATAGCTAAACTTTCAACTTTGCAAAACTGCCATGCTAATTCGATCTATCTAGCTTAGGTGCCAAAGCATTGAGCTATACATATGTAACAACCAGTAATGAAGCACTGATGTTAAGATAGAATTGGGCTACTCCAGACGCCCTTGAATTCCCCTAATAACCTAGAAACCTATCCTTCCTACCCCTATGCGTTCCTTTTTTTTTTATCGTTTTCTTTTCTTTTTCTAACATTCCTATTCCATCCCAAAATCCAAACCCCGACTCCTCCCAGTTCACTCACTCTATCCACCTTACTCATTTTGCCCAACACACGGACATCGCAGCGGGGTAACAGACCACACCCCGTACATCGGGATCGCGCGTATATGAGCCTGCTGTCGTTCTCGCTCCTCCATCACCGCGAGCACCTTCACCAAACCAACCCACACAACAAGCACAAGACCCACCATCAGCAGCAGATACCACAGCTGCCGCAGAGTGTTCGGCCAGGGACTCTGCCGGTACGCGGTCAGCGCCAGCCAATACTTCCTCTCGGCAGCAAACGCCACGCGCGCGTAGTCCTGCTTGACCTGCTCCTTGGTGCGGACCAAGCCGTCCCTCCAGCCGCGCACCCGGTCCGCGCAGCGAGTCAGCCCACGCCCGACTTTCAGGACCGCGCGCCCGAGAAGCGGGATCTGGGGCTCGGGGTGGGCCAGCCGCGAGGAGGCAGGGGGGCGCCGGGCGTGCGCGCTAGTATGGCCATGCGCTCCTCGAAGGCTTCGTCCGCGAGCCGGTTCGCGAGCTTGATCAGGTGCTCCTTGGGATATATGTTGAAGATGGCGGGGGGAGGGTCCATGGTGCGGCCGCGGGTGAAGGGGCCGAAGGGGCGGTGAAGTGCGTTGTCGGGGCTGAGCATGTACCATGGGATAGGCTGGCCGTAGGCGCGGGGACGGTGTAGACGTAGGATGATGACATGGTTGATTGGTTGGTTTGTGGGGACTCTGGGGACTTGGTTAGTAAGTGTGCTTGGGGATGGGGTCTTGATGGTATTGGGAGTGGCTTTACTTACAGTGTGATGTAGGTAATTATTGTTGTTGAGATCCTAAGGTGGGGAGTGGGGTGTTGCTGTTGCTGCTGCAGTTGATGTGCTTCTAGGCAGGTGTATGTCTTGCAGACCAGATTGAAGGCCAGCAGTTAGGGTTGCGATATGAAGTTGAAGTTGAAGCTGCGCTTCTTAAGAAAACCTATGAATATGAATGGGAATTTGTAAGAGAATTTAGGGGAAATTGTGTGGGTGGTTGGTGGTTAGGTTGTAAGGTGCCACCTGGTTTAGGTGTAATTGCAGCTGTAAAAGTCGTGGATTTATATGAAAAGTTTCTCTCAATTTGTAGAGAAAGAAGAGGGAAAGTAATTTGTGTGATAGGTTAAATCTTTTTAGAAGTAGTAGAGTTATGGGAAATCACCAATTTAGGATGGCTGGATGGTTGGATGGTTATTTGCCTTTGAGTACCTGAGGTGAAGATGTGGGAATTTGGAAGGAGGAAGGGTAGTGATAAAGTTAAAGTACTAAGGCATCAGTTGTAGAATCAGTTGCTGATGCACAGACAGCAAGTTGATTGATTTCTTAACCCTTCTACTCAATCACAATCATCAAGACCTCACTTTCCATTTCCCCTAGAATCACTCCTAAAAATGGTCCATGCACAATTTCAGGTTATATCATTATCGCAGAATCAGCCTCATTGATCCTACCATACTGCCTACCCAAGTACTTTGTTATATGTTTTTTATGATAATCAAAGGTAGGTAGGTTGGACAACACCACATTTGTCTTGATTGTCATTATCCAACCCTCCAACTCAATATTTCTAAAGTCGTCACCAGTGTCTCACTAAATATCCTACACATGAGACAGCTATGGAGGTTTTAAATTTTACAACAATTATATGGTGTCATCGCGAGTCAGATTTTCCAGGAAACTTCCAGCCCAGATCTGTTTCGGGAACCTCAAAATTCTTGTTGTAAACCCCTTAAAATCGGACAGTCTGATCTTCTATTTTTAGTAGACAAGACAAGAGATAATATTTAATCGGACGGCCAGTAATTTTTCAACATTGCCAAAGTCCCAGAAATTCATATTATGTATATATAAGAGAGTGATCTAAATATTATCCCCTCTAAAGTGTCCTTCCTTACTGGAAAGAAACCTTGCGCAGGATCACATTCTGGTGCTAAAGTAAATCACAGATTATCATATTAAGAATTTATTTGATCTTCCAACAGTAAATCATTATGGTTGATTAATTGATTTGTGGAATCATTTGGAAATTCTGTACGCCACCTATGGCAGCCGGCAACATATGCGAGCAAAGGTCTTATTTTGTATTTTAACTACCAACGCCTACTCCAAAAAAAAAAAAAAAAAAAAGATAAATTCCGAGGTCACAATTAACAGTAAAAAAGGTGCAATATTATCTGCATCTAATAATATATTTTCAACTTTTTCCCTCGGCGCCAAATCATGGATGTTAGGAGGTACCTAGTAACCCTGATTATGAAGTTCTATAGATCACGTGCATTTCAGTAATGTTAAGTAAGAGGGACAGAAAAAAGGTTTCCGATTTAAGTCCGCAGAATCACCGATTTTGTAAGTACATAGGTACCTAACCTAAGCTTTTTCCATTTCCCCCTTACCCTACACTTCTTGTCCTTGGCCGCAAACAAGTTTGCTATAGACGAAGCATCTCAATATTAGCCTTGCGGTCAACCTAGCACAAATCAGATAAGTGATGATCTTGTATGCAGATACCATAGCGGCAAAGGGTGGTTTTGAGAAACGATTCCTCGACCGAGTACCGTACCTCCCATATGCATTATTCATTAGAGAGGCAACGTTATTTCTCAGAGAATTATTTCTCGACGAATAATCGTTTCTCGACGAATAATCGTTTCTCGAAAAAAAAAACAAAATTTTTAATTTTTTTATTTATTTTTTTTATTTATTTTTGTTTTTTAAATTTTTTTTTTTTTAACACTCGAGCTGATTCGAACAGTGGACTTTGGATATATTACGGGATTTATGGGTTACGGGTTTTACTACTAGGCTAATTGGGGTTTAATACATGCACGCGAGAATGTCTTATTATTTAATATTATATTTTATCTAATCAAAAAAAAATCTTAATTTCAAGTTCGGAAACGATTTTTTACCCGAAAATGATTTTTTATAAAAACATAATAATCTAAACAAAAACGATGTTTTTCAGGTAAATAATTATAAGTATGAATAACCGTTTCTTAAAACCACCCTTTGCCGCTATGGTAGCTTGGGCTTCTATTAGGTATTAATGTGTGTGGCGTTATGATGGGAAGGGTTTAGTACCTAGAAAAGGGAAAGGTGTGGGTAGATAGACCCCTGAACCAGTTGCCGAGTTTTGTGCGGGCTTACCCGTTCTGTCGGGGCTTTTCTTAGGGCGTTTAATGGCTTATCGATACCCTGAAAGATGGATTTGTTATGTAGATGCGCTTGTCGATCCTACATCATCGGCATGCGGCATGCGGCATGCAACTGATTAGATTCAGTTATTCGCTCATCGCGTTTATACGGGGAGCTCCAAAGACGACGATACCTAAAATTGGAATTAAACTTACACCACTCTACACAGATATTTTTCTTTGTTTAATATATATATGAATCTTTACTATGCGTCCCCGGACCTTACTTCGACCAATTGCTTAGAAGTAAAACGCCCATCGAGAAAAGTGACGTCATTCATATAAAACTATCTACCAGACAATCAACAGTTTCATCTTCGTCTCTCAGGCCTCACTTGGAGATAATATTATAAAAAGGTCCTAAGAAGCTTAAATCACATACCAATTAATCTGCAAAAATCTCTTACCATTAAAAACACAAACCACCATGGCCTCCAAGGTCGATCCAGCGATCCTAGAAGTACTAGGTCTAGACGCGCAAGCCACCAGAATCACTTCACATGGCGGCTCGGGGTTCGCCTCGACTTTCAAACTGAGCTCAACAGTAGACGGGAAGGAGAAGAACTATTTTGTTAAGACCGGAACAGGAGCTGATTCTGAACTCATGTTTAAAGGTTAGGGTGGGATATCTCTATGCAGTTATATGATAAGACGCACTTGATGAGAAGCTGATACAACGCAGGAGAACACGTCTCTCTCAACGCCATCCACTCCGTCGTCCCCAACCTATGCCCCCAATCCCACGCCAACGGCGTCTGCCAGGAGAATGAGGCCAAATTCTTCCTAGTAACAGATTTCCTCGAGCTAGGGTCATCGCAGCCGAACGGCTCAGGGGACTCCCTCGCCAAGAAACTGGCAAAGCTGCATACGACTCCCGCCCCGATCCCAGACGGCTTCGACAAGCCCATGTTCGGGTTCCCGGTGACGACGTGCTGCGGGTCCTCGCCGCAGGATAACTCGTGGAAGAGCTCCTGGGCGGACTTCTACGCGAACAATCGACTACGCGCGATCCTGAAGCAGGGCATCGAGGCCAACGGTATGGATCTGGAGATTACGAAGGCGGTGGAGAGGACGGCGACTTCGGTGGTGCCGAGGCTGATTGGGGACGGTCGTGTCGCGGGTGTTTATCCGGTTGTTGTGCATGGGGATTTATGGAGTGGGAATCATGGACGAGGGAGGATTGCGGGCGAAGGGGGTGTTGAGGAGGTTGTGTTCGATCCGTCGGCTGTGTATGGACACTCGGAGTACGAGTTGGGTATTATGCGTATGTTTGGAGGATTTGGGACGAGTTTTTGGAAGGAGTATGAGGGTTTGGTGCCGAAGGCTGAACCGAAGGAGGAGTGGGAGGATAGGGTGGTGTTGTATGAGTTGTAAGTCATGTTGATTTTACACCGATGCTACATTGTTCGATGTAAGCCTCATGATGCTGACAATTTCGCAGATACCATCATCTGAACCATTGGGCGTTGTTTGGTGGTGGGTATAGGAGTGGAGCGATGTCGATTATGAAGAAGCTTAATACGAAGTACGGATGAAAGTCGAATGTGTTTTTCATCTGTTAGATCGTCGTCTTGTTATTTTTATAGTTACTCACCTAATAATTTTTCTAATGAGACGGATAATACGGATATACTAGAGTAGATCATGACCATGTGAGTTTTCTAAATGTAACAAGCAATACAGTAGAATAATATCAGACTAGTTATATCATATCGTATACTCATATACCTCAGCGGAACTTCATATCACTCGGAGAAAAGGGGAGTCGGGAAGCCGGCTGACTCATCCCGGGCGGCTCCGAATTTTGCCCTTAGTTAGAAGAATTACCTTAAGTATTTCTTCCGTCCACTAACGGCGCAATTGCACCATTTTAATCCTTGCTTGCAAGCCAAGAGCTAAATAGCATACCCGCATCTCATTTCACTCCATGACACGCTCAAAAATACAAGTATAATTTACCGTGAGGTTATCCAGGAGAGAGGGTCGGCATGGAGGATAGAAAGGCTTTCATAGTCGGTATCAGCGGGGCCTCGTCTAGCGGGAAGACGACGCTTGCCCGACTGTTGCGCGATGTCTTTCCGAATACGTTTGTCCTGCACGAGGATGATTTTTATAGACCTGAGACTGAGTATTTTTGACATTTCATTATTCCCGTCTATCTAAATGGGATTTAAAATAAAATAAAAGTCCAATACTAACTAATTGGTCTAGACTCCCTTTCAAAGAAGGCCTCCTGGATTGGGATTGCGCCGAGGCGATTAACATCCCGGACATGAAGCGCGCGTTGGAGCATATCCGCGCCCATGGCACTTTTCCTGTAAGCTGTTAAGGGGATATCGGATATATATTACTGTCTGGTTCTATCCCATACACGAATGAATCAAAGTTACACATCGCCTATATAGCCCAGCAACGCTCTTAAGCCGCTCATCCAGCCTACCGAACCCCAAAACTAACCCTCACTCCCAGCCCTTCGTCGACTCCAAAGAAGACCAAAACTCCATCGGCGCCTGCCCCGTCTCCGACGCCGCCATATCCGCCGCCAAATCCAAAGTATCCTCCTGGCTACAACCCGGCCAGCCCGGCCACTCCATCCTGCACACCACCACCACCAACCTGCGCATCTGCCTCCTAGACGGGTTCCTGCTATACTCGCCCGAGCTAGAATCCGGCTCCATCCCCGCGCTCCTCGACGCCAAGCTCTTCCTGCTCGTGAGCCGCGCGCGCGCGACCCAGCGGCGCGAGCGGCGCGACGGATACGTCACTCTCGAAGGGTTCTGGGCCGATCCCCCGGGGTACGTGGAGAAGGTGGTGTGGCCGAACTATGCGGCGGCGCATAGGGGACTGTTTGTCGATGGGGATGTGGAGGGGACGTTGGATGTGGGGGTGTTGGGGGAGAAGGGGATTTTGGCGCAGGTTGGTGCTGGGTTGGATGTTGATATGGAGGTTACGTTTAATTGGGCGGTGGATACTTTGATGGGGGAGTTGGAGAGGGTTTTGGGGAAGGGGGAGAAAGAAGGAAATGGGGAGGACGGAATGATGGGTGGGTAGATGGATGGATGGGGAGGAAGTGAGATATGGTCAATTTTGATATCTAAGTTGGTTTTAGAAGAGAAGAACTCTTATTATTATTAGATCAAGACGTATCACTTGAGGATAAATTAAGATATGATGAAAATACATTTCAATTATTCACTTCTATCCCACATTCTTCCCTTCCTAATCTCATCCTCCGGAGAAGCGGTCTATCAGCATCATCGTAACTCCTTCAGGGCATTAATCAATATCATACAACCAAGATATTATATCTAGCCTAGTAGCGCAAATTTCCCTATTATTCTAATAATAACCCACCGGGTGGGTAATTCTAACATTCTCGAGATGCGACTTAGATAAGTGCCTAGGTAGATTATAGATTACCGCCAGGTATCTGTCTGCGACGACGAAGTGGCACAGGTCTTGGGGACGGTGTAGGCGCGGTTGGGATCGGCTTCCCATGATATGGAGCCGTCGGTGTTGACCACGATGTACTTGTACTGGATGGCCTGTCCGGCGGGGAGAGATAGTTGCCTTCCAGAGAGGATTGCTGGAGGTGTACTGAGAAGCGCTGAGAGTGACCGCCTTGCTGGTGTCCCAGTTGCCGAGAGCAGCGACGTTGCCCACTACCTTGACAGTCTGGCCGTAGGTCGGTAGTCTTAAGCTCGTTGAATGTGACTGCAACGGCAGTAGCAACAGTGCAGGTACCGGTGGTGGTAGTAGGGGTGACTGTAGGTCGGGTGATGGTGGTGGTCGGCACGGTAGTGGTGACGGGAGTTTGGTTAGCTGGAAAGACGAAACCGTGCCGTGGAGTATGATCCACCCTGAGACGTCGCCTTGCAGACACCGGGACCGAGGTGGCAGTGGAACCTGCGCCTGCCCAGCTAGGGGGGACTACACCAGCTCGTCGTGCGGCGGCGGTCAAGAAGGAGGCGTACGACCAAGTAAGGTCCTTAGCAGATAGCGGTGAGCCACTGTCGCGGTTGTATTGCTCGGCAAGAGCACCATCGGATCCGGTGTACTTGGAGACAACGTTGACGAAGCCATCGGCATAGAGGAATACGGCGTTGTAGATCGCGGTGTAAGTATCTGTGCCGGACTTGTACGTACCAGCTGAGACACCCGAGACGAGGTCCTGGAAGAATGGCAGCGAGGTGGAAGTGACTGTGATGGATCCGGTAGTCTGCCAGACGTAGAGGGCATCATAAAGCTGCTCCGCGGCTGCGAGTGTAAGGAGATACCATCTAGCATAATGGTTAGCGATAAATGTACTAGGTAAACGAATTAGACAAGGTACTCACGGGTTACCGTTGTAGTAAGAATCTTCGGGGTATCGTCCCACGGCAACAGCTGATCCACTGGGAATTCCAGAGTTAAGGCCGTAAATGCTGCGGAATGAGTCTACGACGACCTTGTGGCTGGAAAGAGCCTTGTCACTGCAGGGTTGGAAAGTAGCGGCGTCGCAACCAAGAGCTGCGTCGAAGTTGTGGATCGAAGCTAGGATTACGTTGCCATCCTTGGCAGATCGACCGTTGTTGACGTTGATATTGGCTAAAGCATAGCCGCTCGAGGACGACCAGAAGGTTTGCAAGAAGCAGAGGACGTGAGGTGCAATAGCATCGTAAGAGTCATGGCTTGTACCAAGGGTCTGCGCTAGGGCGCTTCCTTCGACCAGGGATCGGTGCTGAGCAGCAACTGTGAAGAAAGAGCTTCCGTTAACTTCCTCCCAGAGATCGAAGCCGGTCTGGTTCCAGTACTGGGCGACGTAGGTAAGATCGTTACGGATTATGGGCCAGATGCTGTTAGTAACTGTTGAAGTATACCCGTTTGCAATAAGCCAATTGGAATAGCTGATCAGAGCAATGGCCCTCAGAGCGGGACCATCGCGTTGGGGGCGGCCCCACCATCAGTGAAAGCGCTGAGGTCGACGTGGTACTTGGCTTCTCCCAACCCCTTTCCATCGGATAGAGAACCTGACGGGTTGGATACAGTTTGTAGCTTAGCCTGGGAGATGATATAGTTCTGTATCTGGGTTTGTAGACCCGCGTCGTAGCTGTTGGTGAATCTCTCGACTATAGCCTTGAAGACAAGAGCAGCATCTCTGGTCCAGGTGAAGAAATCTAAACAATTAGCATATTGTGAAAGTTTAAGAAGAGGAGTTTGCCTACAATCAGGATCAGACTTGGACGGGGAGGCTATAACGATGCCTGCACTGGCACCTTGGGCGCTGCTACCAGTCGATCCGATATTGTTAAGGAGCTTTTGCAAGGCAATAGGCTCTTCGGTGGCGATGAAGCTGTCTACCGCTCTCTTAAGGATCACGCCCTCTCGTCGTACCCGAGAAGAACCGGGGGAACCGAGGATGGTTTGGAAGGCAAAAGTGCCCAAGAGGAAGAGAGAAGTGAGGCCCTGCATGATGGGTTCAATCAACGAGGTGCTGTTGCTTGTTAGAAGCCCTTGACTTGAGCTCTGTAAAACGTCCATCTTTTACTACTCTTATATATACGAAGCTTTTCAGCAGCATCGTGAAGAGGCCCCTTGCCTCTTTCGGACACCTGACCGGATGCTACTCTAGAACAGCTGTAGGACCGAATCTCAGGGTTCCCCCGGCGGTACTTTTCGGTCATAGGGCGTAACCAGGTAAATCGGCCTGGCGGTGTTTAATGGAGTCAATGCAACGCCGCCAAAACAAACTCCGCCTTAAAATTAAATGACGTGAGTATAGAATATGCTCAGTTCTAGAATTTGATGGTAAACAATAGCCAACCAAGATTCAACCTGGAGCAACCTGGGGTATCTGGAATCGGGCCGCTTTAGGGGGGGATGTCTCCAGGAATCGTCTGGTACCGCGCATACGGGATGGGCGGCTTCGACGGATTCGGTAATAGACCCCTGGATGCCTAGGTAGTCGCCTAGGTAGTCTAGGGAGTCTAGGTATCTAGAGCGTTAACAGGGACGGACTATGAGGCTGGATTAACTAGAAGTAAATATAAAAAAAGTACACCAACTCCATGCTAACCCCATAGACTTAAATGTATTTCATGCGGGGAGCATCGTCCCCGCATTATTAGAAGTTGGAGTAGAATGTAAAGAATAAGGGGAAAGGAGTTGCAAGGGGGAGTCCACAATCCAATTCTTCGGAGGTCATCCGGTTGATGCTAAGCCTTTTTTTTAAGATACGTGTGCAATCCCGACTTGAGCCAGTGTAGCTGCTGACCTTTTTTTTTGTTTTGCTGTACGGACACTTCACAACAAAAGATTAATAAAATGTCCAATTGGATAAAGATTTAATAATTTATTTAGATCTACATGAATTATTTATCTTAGGTACATATACATGATATACTTAGGTAAGTAACTAAATACATCATAGTATTTTAGAGTATTTCAGTACCTATTTAGTAAGGTATTACCATAATTAAACCAATAAGATGTAAACAGCCTTGCTCAGTATCACATGCGTGACCATACCCCTAAACTTATATGGACACCTACATGGACACTTACATGGACAGGTCAGGTACGCATTACATTTCTATATCGACCCGTGATATACCTCATCACACCACCTGTTTCCTATCAAATAGCTTCTAGCTCAAACGTGATCACGGCACATGCCGTTCTGAATCCAGGTATTCATAACTTCCCTCGGCTTGTCAGGGCTTGTCAGGGCTTGTCAGTTAAAATCGTCATATAAGACCCTGATTGTACCTGAAAACCTGGAAACAAGCTAAGAGCCCTATGCACATCTAGTATCCGCTTCTTTACCAACTTGCCAACTTGCCAACTAAACTTATTTATTATATCGACTTATTATAGGACCATTAGTCTAGCCTTAGCTTGTCCTAGTAATCGTGTTACGGCTACGGACGGATTACAGCATCGACTCTGCCCCAAAGACTAGTCTGCCCGCGATGAGGCCGAACGAGAATATTCAAACTTCTCATTATCACGGACGATATACCCTCTAATTGACATAGCGCATTGTCGCAGCTTCACTAGAGCAATAGGCGCATAGAAACGCGTTGGAGGTCCGAGATAGAGCCGATCATGTTATTCTTCATCATGTTATTGGCATCTGATTCTACGAAACTTAGCACGCGACACGAATACTAATAAATATCATCATTTCTGTACCAAGGCAATCTCGTCCTACTGGCACTTAAAAAGCGCAAGCTTGGAAGGAATAGCCAAGGTTTAGATGGGCAACGGTATGTAAGGTATCTTATGGTTTTCCTCAACCTCATAGATCAATGATCTCGGAAAAAAGGGGTGGAATATAACTCTTGGAACAAGACCAGTCCACCGAGTTGCAGCCTTTACGGCGAACTCAGGCTTTCCAGAAATGCTCCTTACTCTAGGACCTGTCGATTGGATTGACATCATAAAAAGAAGGATGATTCCATATGTGATTCGAGCTGCCTCGATCATCAACTCTGAATTCGCGAGCGAACAGAGGACGATCGGGCACAGATCCATGATTGTGTAAAAGGAAAGAAGAAGAAATTTCAAACAGAAAAATTTGAAATTTATTGTGCAGAGGCTGACGAGAAAGTGGGGCAGACTAAGCCATGTGCACTGACCACCTGCATTAGTGTACCTAAGGTGCCAGCTTTGTGTTGCGACAAAGAGTTCTTCCATTTGAAATGACTTTGTAGCTCTGTACTTTGTAATCCGATATCTTATCCAGTGTCCTTATCCCTTATCACTATTTCCTAACTTCAAGTAAGCAATCGCAACAATTGCAATAATCTTAAAATCCTACCTAAGGTAGCCTTACGTATATCTTCATTCCCAACAATCGAAAAGTAGCTATCGACGCGCGCTTAAGTCACCACCATCCATCATGGATGCTGCAGCGATAGAAGAGACGAATCGCCTTCGCGTTTCTCTGGGCATGAAACCTTTGCCCGTTCCTGGCGCAAGCGGTCCTCAGTTCAAAGAAAAGACATCCACGCCCGACGAAGACGTCGGAAGTACCCTAGAGACCAGAGAAGCAGCCGCGTACGATAACTACAAAAAGAGCAGAGATGCTGAAGAGGCTAAGAAGAAGCGTGAAGAGAAAACTGCTGCCATCAAAAGAGCCCGCGATGCCGCAAAACGTTTCGAGAACTTGCAAGGCAAGGGACTAGGCGAGGTTGATGACGGGGATGAGGTTGATACCAAATCATGGTTGATCAGTCAAAAGAAGCGCCAAAAGCAGATCGAAAAGGCGCGGAAGCTAGAGGAGGAACTAGCGGCTGCCGAAGCTGAGGCAGCAGCAGCGATTAAGTACACGTCCAAGGATCTTGCTGGTGTTAAGGTTGGACACGAGGTCGGATCCTTCGAGGATGGAGAAGAGCAAATCTTAACACTCAAGGATACCGACGTTTTGGGAGAGGAGGATGAAGGCGACGAACTCGAAAACATTAATCTTAGAGAGCGAGAGAAGCTTGACAAGAAGCTGGAATTGAAAAAGAAGAAACCCATATACGATCCCCTTGCAATCGACGAGAATGGCGAGCGTAGCCTCCTAGCCCAGTACGATGAGGACATTGATGGCAAAAGAAGCAAGAAGTTTACACTAGATGGATTAGGGAATACTGTGTTGAGTGATGATCTGGATAATCAAGCACCCGGTGGACAACGGCAAAAGATCAACCTCGATCTTTTTACAGAGGATAAGCCGGCATCGGATTACTTAGATATCTCGGAAATAAAAGTCAAGAAGCCTAAAAAGAAGAAGTCGAAGTCGACAAGACAGCGCCCAGTAGACGAAGACGATATCTTTCCGTTACCACCAGCAGAGCCGGATCAAGCGATGGACATAGATTCGGGCGCCGGTTTCGTTAACAAGAAGCGCAAGACAGACGACACAACATTCGCCGATGACGAAGATCTCCAGGCTACTTTGGCTGCTCAAAGAAGAGACGCTCTAAAGAAGCGCAAGAGGACGCGCCCTGAAGATATAGCGCGGCAACTGCGAGAGGAAGCACAGACGCCAGAAGCTGATAATGACGCCAACGGTGCTCAGGAGGGTGGCCTCGTTCTGGATGAGATCTCCGAGTTTGTTTCGGGGCTAAAGAAGGAAGATATCGAGGACCGCAAACCTCGTAAACCGAAGTCACTTAAGGATGCTCCGGTCACAGCTATGGAGGACGACTCTGATGAAGACGAGCCGATGAAGGATGGTGACGACGAACATGATAGAGTTAAGCGCGAGACGTCAACCCCGGCAGAGACGGCCATCATCGGCGTTGACGAGGAGAAGACCATAGGGTCTGGCATCGGCGCAACACTACAGCTTCTAAGGGAACGACAGCTCCTGAAGGACTCGGGTGCTGCTGAGCTAAATGAAACGCAGCGTCAGCATCAACTATTCGTCGCTGAGAAGAAACGCAAGTTGGCAGAGATTGAGCAAGATGCCCGCAACCAGCGTGAGCGTGATCGCAACAGCGGCAGACTCGACAGAATGTCAGTACGAGAGAGAGAAGAATGGGCCCGACAGCAAAACAATATGCGCGACCAGCAGACATCCAGACAGCTGGTCGACCTCTTTAATAAAGGATACAAACCCAACGTGGAGCTGAAGTACCACGACGAATACGGACGGTCGCTCGACCAGAAGGAAGCGTTCAAGCATCTCAGCCACCAGTTCCACGGCAAGGGAAGCGGCAAGGGCAAGACGGACAAGCGACTCAAGAAGATCGAGGACGAGAAGCGACGAGAGTCCCAGAGCATGCTGGATGCCAGCCAGAACGTCGGCATGAGCTCGGCCATGACACAGCAGACGAAGAAGCGGAAGGAGGCTGGTGTGAGACTGGCGTGATACAGACTTTTTTTCAAAAGGTGCTTATTCCCTTGCTTGTACACTTATTAGTTAGTAATTCAGAGCTGACACTGGTCTTTTCAAGTCTGATATTCCGTGATGTGCTACGATGATGTTTGCGCTCAAGCGATGCGGTGCCGTGACCTATGATTATGAAGCCATACCCCTTTTCTCGTGATGTGATCTAACGTAGTATGCCACCACTGCTGGCATTACACCTACCGTATTACTATGCTAATATGATATGTTTTTATTCTCGGTAAGGCGCCTAGATTAGAAAAATAGCTGAGTCGTGTGGACTTTGCGCCATGGGCTAAATAGTGTGGCCTCAGTTAGCAACTTATAATCCAACCTTCATAATGCGAGCGTAAGGCAAGTTTAATCATATCAATCTAGCAGATATAAGCAGCTGGACGAGACCTATCGAATACTAGATAATTCACATTTACATAGTTGAACATACAGATAAAAAGTATAGATTTAATAATATTCGATGAATTACAAAGAATGCATATGCGAACAACATCCCAATCTTTAATGAAGTAAGTGGCATAACCTTGAGAAAAGTTTAAGTGACTATGAAAAGGTTGAAAGCACAGGAACAATATAAATGTCGTAAGTCTAACTCCATATGATTAGTAAAATAGTCAGTTACCTATACTAGTATGCATGCACCTCCCTACAGCCACACACTTTTCCACAGCGGCCATTGTCTCTACCAGCTTTAAACAAAGTGAAGGAGAAAAAGGTTCAGGCAACGTCAACCAGCAGAAGAAAATGATAAAACTATAAAAGTAGAAAAGTAGAAAAAACTGCAAAAAGAAAGGATCCCTCGGGCCGGAATCGAACCAGCGACATTTCGGTAACAATTTTTCACAATTACAGCCGAACGCCATAACCAACTAGACCACCAAGGGGGTGGGGGTTTTAAATGCTTGCTCTGAGAGGAAGTGGACTTCCTCCCGAGGGACAGCTGTTGAAGAATTGGGGTGGTGTTGGGGGTTATAAAGCTGTTGTGCGCTGGTTTTTTTGTGGCCGGAGTTTAACCGATTCTTGCATGTGCGGGGTTACTTATGTGCACTTGGTACGCGGGTACATGCTTTCGTGCACGGTGCATGGTGCATGGTGCACGGTTGCCGAATTGTGAGGAAGGTGCGCATGGCCAGGGTACGAAGGTACGAAGGTACGTAGGTGTAGGTAAGTACCTACGTAGACGGCGACTGCCTCAGAAGAAAATACTGTATGATCCTGTGATTCTGATTCTGATTTAATTATTCTGATCCGGAGACGTACCAAGTACCTACGTACCGTTGGTGATTGAAAAATCAACTGCTTGATCTTGATTACCAGACGTATGTACCTAAGTACCTACAGCATGGAAATCAATATGGAAGCTTGAAATCAGAAAGCCACTTAGAGTCACGTAGTATTTGTGTTATATGTTTTTATGGGAAACAAATTTTTTTTGTTATTTATTGCCTATGCTAAGGTTTTCTGTTTAATTTGATTTGCTTATATGGTGTGTGCATGCTTGGAAGAAACTGTATAGGGGGTACGTAGGAAACATAGGGGGTAAGGAGTAAGGGGGCAAGGGGCAAGGAACAAGACACCATAGGGATATTCAAGAGTTCATGAGGGTATACGTTTTAGGACGAACATCGCTTCAGGGAAGCCAGATCAACGGTGGCTCCAATCCTACTTGACTTTGTACGTGCCGTTCAACGCATGAGACCTCAAGACATCCCATATATCTCCCATAGTTGACATGTTTAAACATCTCTATATGATCATTGCAGTGTTTATCCTGCTCTCCAAGTCCATGTAGTAGGTAAAGGGGCAAGAAATGATGTCTAAGTCATTTCTATATTACCTATAATGAACACGAAGAACAGCTAGAACAAGCAAATCCATAAGCTCGATGCTTAAGTCTGCGTCCGGCCATCTTTTCTGGGCTTGTGGTCATCATCCTTCTTGTGATGCTTCTTGTCCTTACTATCGTGATTCTTCTTGCCGTCATCCTTCTTCTTGCCGTCATCCTTCTTCTTGCCGTCATCCTTCTTCTTGTCATCATCCTTCTTTTTCCCATCCCTCTTCTTCGAGTTTTTCCCACATAGCTCGTCAAGGACAGCGATTAAACCCTCGGCCACTTCAGCAGATATAGGCATGGCAATTTGTCGAGACTCAGGGGCTGCTGGCTGACTAGTACGCTTACGATGTTTCTCGTCGGCCGTGTCGGTAGACTTCTTCTTGGTTGCGGTCTCCTTCGCGTTATGTGCTCGACGGTCGGAAGGGTGATCATTGTTATTCTCGTTGCTCTCTAATCCAGCCATAGACAGCCGTAGGTTTCGAAGGCTTTCCTCTGTTTCTGTGACCTGAGTAGAGTTAGCTAGCATGGAAAGCACTGGAGTAGAATTAGAGACGGGAGGTCTTGGCTCTCTCGGGTCAGACGTTGGTGGTACCGAAGCAAGGCCACCCTTCGGCGTGGACTTGCCCTTGTGTCCATCTGGTGATCGACGCAGCGACTCAACACGATCGTTGTAAGGGACACGGGTGTCGCCTGTGTAAGCTGTCTTATTGGAAACGGAGGAGATGACGGTGGAGGGATATGTATCACTCGCTCCCGGCTTAGAACTCGATGAGCGACGTCCACTGCTGTGAGACATGATGGGCAGATTTCCTCGAGGATTTTCGATAGGCTATTCTACGAGATTGGCTGTGAGTAACGAATTCCGAAGATGGACTTACTGCGTTCAAGTCTCGATGGGAATGATGCTAAAGAAAGCTCGACTGGAGATGAGTTGATATTCAGAAGTAAAGTTACTCTTGGTCAGGCTTATATACGCTGATATGATTTTTGGAAAACAATGGAGATATTCTACTACAGGTTATTCTAATTTCTTTCAATAGTATTGTATTCCTTTTTCTTTCCCAGCCGCTTTGTTCGCCGGGACATAATTCAGTCGACTAATAACCTACGAACCACAGATTCTTTCACCAAATCAGCATCAAAAACGCTCTTTGTCTATTTACTTGGGACTCGGATTAGATGTTCTTCCGTCGTTAAATCCATACGATCAATATCAAATATCCATGGAGTAGAATTCCATTGTTTCGTACCTGGGTTTAACTACTAATTTCGAAATATACGCCACAAGAACTCCCATTTCTAATTTATTATCTACATTCTTTGTTTACCCTCGTAAATTAGTCGATAATTAATATTTAATTCAATAAAGCACAGTAAAAAAATAGCTTAAACTTAGAGTGAATGCTCAATAATACTTGATTACACATGATCGATTTACTTTTATCCATCATATAGCTACTGTATAATATCCAGCCAATAAAAAATACCTTGATTTGTTTTTTATTGAATCAGAAACCAAACTGCCCAAAAAGGGTTTAGTAAGGAAGGTTTTCGGCGTTGATTTTTGAAAAAACCGGAGCCTTCCGGACCTGTCCGACCTCTTCCGGACCGGACCCCCGGCGGTCACCATACTGGATCCTGCAGAATCAGGCTCCGGTTTTCTGATCTTTCCGGAATAGCCCTGGTTGCTAAGCCAAATAAAGTAAAATCAGCATTAATAATATTTGGTTCCTTCCTTGATTGCATTTGATTGTACCATAATGTGATCTTTTGCGATTTTAACCTTCTAGCAATCCTCCTGCCTACATACCTGGTGACTTCTATTTGATGCACTCTATGTTTGTACCTTTACTGATTGTGCTCTGAGCCATCATTCTATATAAACATCCCCTCCCCCAAGGCATCTTTCCCATCTTTCCCATCTTCCCCCATCACACATCAGTCTTCATACATCAGTCTTCATACATCAGTCTTCATCACACACCCAACCTTTCCAAACCATCTACCTTTCCTGGTCATCTATCTTCCTTGACCATACAGTCTTCTCAATAATAATATCCCTTCTTGATCATACATCGTGATCAAACATCATCCTTAATTAAGTCTTCGCGACTTATTTTCTCGGTTTCATTTCAATAACGCGTCTTCACCACAGAGGACTTTTGTTTCTCATTACAGCCTTGCCTGTGAGTAGCTCTGCGCACCATTTTCCTAACCCTCTGCTCTATTGTTGCTGCTCTTGATACCACATCCCTACCCTGGCCTACCATGACCTACCTTGACATACCTTAACCTACTTCCACCTACCTTAACCTACCTTCGCCTACCTTCGCCTACCTTCACACATTCATCTGTCTTCACACCTTCATCTGCCTTCATCATCACGAATGTCTGGCTCTACTATATAAATAGTATGATTGCGCCCCATCACAGAATCCCTTCCATTACCACTCTATCATATATTGTCGCTACAATCATCGTCGCCTTTACCACCCACTTCCAAGTCATCTCTCATCTACATTCATCAAGACGGATACCTTCTTCCATTCGTGTTGCCTGTTCCTTGGAACCTTCATTTACTATGTTCCAAACCCTCTCCTTCGCCTTACTATTGTTCATTACTAAACCCTACTCCTAGGCTCGTGGTTCTCTCTAGCCTATTTGCAGTTTAGTGGCATACAAGATGGCGGCCACTCAGGAGCTTCAATGTCTCCAATGCTGTAGATGTAAGCTATTGTCTCTTTCATTACTCACATTTATCATCTACCTTTCGATAAGTTTGGAGAATGTCATGACTCACTATGGTTCCGATAACCTTCTATTTGGACCGATTTCTTACAACCCTCGTCTCTATTCCTGTCTACCTTGGATATAATAATAATAATACTAATCATCTATTAGATTCAGCCAAGAATGTTGCCCCTAGCAGTGAAGAACCCCGACTAAACCCGTTTCACCGCTTGTCCGTTGAGGTCATATGCGTGATCTTCTCCCATATGAAAACTTGGAAAGATTTCAAGGCAGCAGCAGCCACGTGCCGACGAGCAAGAGATATAACCCAACAGAACGAGTGGTTAATCGCGCGCACATGGATCGATAACATGCTGCCCCAACCCCTCCGAAAGCTTGGAATCATGGCCGTCGCCTCTCGAACATTCAGCCACGATGAGGTGGATAAGTTCATCAAGCAGTACATCTCACACGAGGGCGACTATCCATTCACTTACAAAAGCATGGAAGTGGCTTCTGCTTTACCTAAGCTTCTGAAAGCGGCGGAAACGGTCATCGATACACCGTTTTTCAAATATGGGTTTCTAAGCCGCTATCTCAATGATGGTTGGACGGGATCAGAATATGTGAGAGAGATCCGAGCATGCTTCATGATAGAGACGGCAAGAAATCTTTTCAACGGCTCTACAGAGAATCCAGATGAGGAGGGGTTTGGAAAAAAGAAGCAAGCATACTGGACATCTTTCACAAAAGCGGAAGTAGAAGCTGCAGGCGTAATGTTTGAAAGCTATGAACGATGCATGTTCGAAGGTGTGTCACAATGCATAGCCCCATTGAGTTAACGTGTACTAATCGGAACTGGCAGCTCTCTATAACAGCCATGGCGGGGATGAGTATTACGAGAACATAGGTCTTCTCAGAGACTACTTTGACAGTGGAGAAACTCATTCTTTCATCCGGGAGTTTTCAATTGAAGCTGGGTTGGACCAGTTATACAAGTGGAAGGTCGGAGAACTCAATCCACATACCTCATTCCACAGCTTCCTGGTCAACAGACGTGGGCAGCGTGAGGGATACCAGCATTTCCACGCATTTGTGGCAAGCGAGGACACGGTCTTCGCCGAATCCCCATTCCAGCCGGGCAAGAAAGCGATCGTTCTAGACCAATCCAACCACTCGGACAATCTGCAGGGACAGCATGATTCGGCTGACGATGACTCTGACAATGAGTCTAACTCGAAGTCTAACTCGGAGTCTAACTCAGAGTCTAACTCGGAGCCCCAGTCGGAGCCAGAATCTAACGATGACCCTGACGATGACCCTGACGATGAGTCTAACTCGGATTCTAACTCGGAGCCTGAGTCGGAGCCCCAGTCGGAGCCCGAATCTGACGAGGAATCAGAATCCGAGCCCGATGAAAGACAGGTGTACAACCCAGACAACTATGACTTCGCGACAGTGGGCGACTGGGAGCTGGGCGAGGAGATGTGGAGCCGCTGGAGAACAAGTTCTTCAACCATGGGCTTTCAGGAATGGATGGACAATGAGATGATGTGTCGAGAGGGAGACTCCGAGTATGAGGATGACTATTACGATTAGAATGAAGGCGAGGGTGAGCATGAAGATGATTATGAAGATGAAGCTGAGGGTGAGAGTAAGAGCAAGGACAACGGCGAGTTTAACTGAAAAGTATCCGGATTGTGGATGATTTTCACGGAAAGAGGCTTGATATGGCAGCTTATGCTATATGCATGGAGAAATGAGTGCTGAGTTGAATGATGAGTTATCAGAGTTGAGTTATCAGGGTTGAGTTATGAGAGTTGAGTGATGAGTGATGGTGATGACTGATGAGTGAGTGTGTTGATGGTGTGACGATGAGATTGAAGCCTATGGCCTTGCATGGTGTTGAGACAGACTCGCACCGACAGACTTGCATCAAACTTGCATTGACAAACTTGCATGTAACATTGATCGCTTATAGATAGCTGCTTACTGACATGACGTCACATAGCACCTTTGCTACTTGCAGTTTTCTTTTTACTGTTGTGTACTGTAGCACGGAAGTCAGGAGATACCTGTTAATGCCGTTAGGCCCATACTTTCCGATAGAGATTTGAGTTTCTAATTCATCACCACCCATTGCAATTGACAAGTCTACTAATAAAAAACTACTCTACTGAACTGAAGTGAAAATAAAAATTAGTCACCCAATAATGAATTAAAAAAAAATAAATTAAAATAAAACAATTGCAAAAATAAATGTCTCCGGTACGGGGAATCGAACCCCGAGCTCCTCGGTGAAAACGAGGTATGTTAGCCGTTACACTATACCGGACTGTATGTTGGTCATTGTTTTGCTTCCAATGCTACATGAGATTTTGCCGTCTTATTACATATTATATCAGTTGGTGTGCGTAGGGCAAGCAAACTATTGGTTGTTGGTTAGTATAGTGGTCCGCCTGTGCTATTTTAGCTTGCAAAAATAATAGTCTTGCATGTGAAAATGAGTGTCTGCGCAGTACCTACCTAGTGAAGCTATTCCACATGATTTCGAATGCGACAATATCTATCCTAATACTTGTGTAATCTCTTTAATTATAGAGTAACGGACTAATATCTTCAATTATCTGACATTATCAATTCCTATACCCTCTGCTTTTGTTTCCCTCGTATTCATTTTATGACAAATTGTCTCAGCAAACGCGAAACTAGTTGTAACCTTAGGTTCTTCTGCCACCCAAAATCTTTTACATCCAGCTCTCCCACCACAGCATATCCCAAGCCCAAACCCCCCTTATACACAATTCAACTTACACAACAGAAAAAAAACCAGATATTTAACATCTCCCACCAACAAGCCCAGCCCATATCCCAATCACGGCACCACCTTCGACCACCTCCGTCCCCTAATCGCATCCTTCTCCTTACCCACCTCCTCCTCCAGTCTCATACCCGCATACGACGAAGTAGTCGCCCCGCGCTCCCTGCTCGTCAGTAGTAGAACGTCACGATCAGCGCAAACACCAGGATCACCATCCAGATGGCGATAAGCTGGACTGAGCGCTTCGGGCGCGGGCCGTAGGGCGAGTAGAGCTTGGGCATTTTAGGCATTATGTCTGTATATAGGTACCTAATGTATAGTGTAATATGGTGTGGTGTGCAGGTGTATATATGTGAGTGGCTAAGCTGAGGTGCCAATAGATAGGTAGGTAGCTGGAACCTTAAGCTTGAGTACTCTGGTCTTGATATGACACGACAGAGTAAAAAGCGCAATTGTTATTTTGAGCCTTAAAACTCAACTAACTCAATTCAATCTATTTGCCTTCAGTTTTAGATTCGTAGGTGATATTGTTGAAGATAACTGAGTTGAAGCTTCCAGGTTCAAGCTCAAGGCCGATCGATATATAAAATTATGTCATAACCCCTTAGTCATCAAGTACACCTACCATCAACTCCAATCTTTAGAGTTGAAAACCTCACTTATTATGACGATAAGGGAGGTAACTTTGTAATAAAAACTACAAATGTAGACTTATAGTCATCTTACTCATTCATATGATCTTAATTATTATAAACGTCAAATCACCTCTTCAAACCATGCCATGGCCCAGATACCTTTAAGGAAATCAGGCAAATTATCAACACAGTAACATAATATGTACTGGGTCTATCATTCTCATCCTACGTCTTGATAATCAAGTAATCAATTACGCTGTTCCTGTTTGAGTGTCTCTCAACCTTCCTAACTCCCTAATAACGCCAATCCGCAATTCGCTAAAGCATCATATCTGTACACTCGCACCAATCCCTTCACCCTGATACCAAAGTGATTCCTTCCAGTTCCCCAGCCGCACCTCTACATTGGCATATGCATCCAGCTTGAGCTTTCCGCCTATCGCTTTCTTCACAGCATCGTAGCCAACCGAGTCTAGTGACCACGATACTGGTAGTTTTGGCGTTTGGGATTTGCCAGGTGGTGCTGAGAACGGCAAGTCGTAGACGATCTGCCCTACCGGCTCGGTGTGATTATACAATGCGGTAGCGTTGACAAAATCTAGATATAATGTGTTATAATGCAATGGTGATACAAGGGTAAATGTGGCCGTCGATGAAAAGACGTGGAAAGTAGCATCTCTAATGAAATGAGACCTCTCTTCAGGGGTGTCTCCAGGCAAACTCAGCTTGGGAGCGGCAAGGGTCATATTAAATTTCGATAACGCTTCGCAGATGATGGGCTGGCCTGGGATACTATTTCGATGTGGCTTTACAGTGATGCTCGTATTCCAGCCTGACAGGTACTGTGATATTAGTTCCCGCCCAATTTTTCGACCGTGGGCGCCACCCATTGGTGGATTCCATTTTGCGGTGACAAGTATATTTGAGTTTGGACCTTTGCCAATATTTAGATCCTCTACCGTAGCACTCCCGATGATCGTACCATTGCTCAGGACGTGGATGTTCGCATATGGTACATGAGCTGTATAGAGTGTTGGATTGGTAACATTAACTAAGGCTTGCAACGTTATCGAGTCTGATGTCGTGTCCAAAATCCTGAGAGACCCGACCTTTGGTTCAATACTGCCAACAGTACCCTTTGGAAGGGCTGAGGATAAGTTAGCACATGCTACTATATACAAGACTGGCGGAAGGGCAAGGAATTGCACCTCTTAGAATGAACCGCCCTACTAGACGGACTATCTGAGAGCGACTAACATATTAGGACAGCGAGGACGGACGTTTTACTGGAATTTTGCCCTCCGCAGGAACCTCCTTTAGAGTAAGGTTTCCTAACGTGGTATGCACTTTGATATCCACTAAGGCGTCAACATGTAGACGGACCGTTTCGATGCCAAATAGTAAGGCACTAATGACTTCGGCAAATACCGTACTATCGGTGATGTTGAGGGGTGCATCGATAACGCGGGACTGGATTTTGAGCATAGGCCCATCATCCCCCTCGCCTTCAACCCTAGTAGAATTAGCGTGTTGCCATTCTCGTAGATTTAGTTCTCCCATTTTCTTCGACTTGTAAAGCACGTCCGCCGTGGCGCGGACGTTTGTCACGTCTATACCAAAGTTCATCTCAGAAGGAATGCTTGCGGTAACTAAAATAGTTCCCGAAACTGTCGGGTTGGAGTCTGGGGCGTCGGGATCGGGTAGAGCAAAATTGACATCGGTCAAAGAGAAGTTCCTAAGCAGACCATCTAAGGTACGTCCGGGAAATGGGACAGGTACTGTTACGCTAGATAGTATGTCTGCAATCCACTTCGGCGTGTCGCCATCGGGATGACGACTCCCACGGACGAAGAGTGTAGCGGGGTCGCCATGCATATATTGTCGAAGGATGTTATCTAAAGGTGAAGAAGTAGAGTCCGGGCAAACGTGAGTCAAGGAGTCAGGTAACTCGCGGATAACTCCTTTAACATCGAGCACAACATCAGAGCGTGGTTCCACATGAACCTCGCTCGTAGCCGCTTCCGCTACTAGGATGAAGGGATCTGAACTAGCGCAACCGGATACTAAAATATCAAACGCAAGCTCGGGAATATTAAGTTCGACCGGATACTCGTTGAACGCCGCCAGTGCTACGTCGGCTAGCATTGTCCCCTTCATCGGGCCATCATCGACTTTAAAACGAGTAATATTATATTTTGGTATCGCAGGGACCTTGTTAGCTGTTCAGAAAATTAGTATATTGTTTAAGTAATTATATGCCTAGCTTTATCTAGATATGCTAGAATAGGACTTCTTTCTTTCCCAAAGTAGAGGGAAGCAAAGGAACGGTAGAGTGATTGACCTTCAAATACAATCGATTCCGAGATGGCGTGCGTCCCTAGAGGGAAGATGCCAGATTTGAGACTGAGATCAGCCTGTCCGTTTAGACGCAGTTCGTCCAATCTGCCTTCGAACCATTCATTCGCAATTATGCGAATGCCTTCTGGATCGCCCGGTATTATTTCCGCGACAATATCAAACTGTGTTACGTCGCCATCCCGCAAGTTGATCAATAGAGGCGGGATGCTTGCGCATCCAAGAAGCACGTTATTATATTTAGGAATGCGCACATCGACCCTCGTCTGTTCGCTTTCAAGCTGAGCTGCCACCCATGTAACAGCCTTTCCTACTCTTCGCACATGATTGCTGCTAACTCTCGACCCATCTAGATGAAAGTTGGCTTGGATCCGAGCTCGAACGCCGTTCGTCGTAATGGATTCGAGGGAGAGGTTGGTAGGCTCAATAACGGCGGCTTGCTGAGCATACTCTTGAATAGTTTGAGGAACAACGAAGGCGAGAACGATAATGACGACGACGAGCGCTGCCAGTATGAACATTGCGATAAATGACGCCCATCTCCTAGACTTCTTAGTCAAACTGGAAGCGGGGGACGCATCGGTGGGGTGGGCTGGACTCGAATCGTCACTATCTACATGATGCTCATCTTCTTCTCCATCGTAACGTGGCGTTGCCGACGAATTCGAGAGCAGTGGCGTCGACTCGCCAGAATCTCCCGGCTCACGAGCCTTGGATTTTCCTTTCGTCGCGGCCGAGAGCAAAGGCGATGCTTCGTCTTCCGACATGATGACGGCTGGGGGTCAGATCGACGGATCACTATTTTAACAATAGGTCAATGACGGGTAATTAATGAATATGTGCTAACTAGCAGAATGGTGTAGGCATCATCAAGTCTAGAAATGTGGTATATTTGATAGACTATGATTAGTGATGTATTGTAAGATGATTAAATTAATGTTAATAAAAAGGCACGGTTTGTATGTAAAATAAGGTTATGGGTATTATGAACTGGGAAAGCGTGGAGTAGTCGTCATCAACGGACAACTCGATGAACCACACTAGCTGAAACGAGGCCCTTCGGCTGGATAGGTGCTGGGCTGCTGGGGCGAAGCCAACTCAACCCTCCCGACCGTTAAAACCAATCAAATAAAAGAGAATAGGTATTAGAGCGGTTACCTTTTCCACTAACGGTCCAGCATACATAAAGCGTATAGTCCGGGGAAGGCGGCAGTCCTGCAGGGCACCTGCAGGTACTATGTAAACAAGTACTGTGCAACTTCCCGAAATCGGCCAGCTGACAGACACCTGCAGGTGCTTGCCCTGAATTGGACTATCGTATCTTGTATCTTGATATCTCCACAAAGTTGCTTTGGTGTCACGACGAACAGCGGATTCAATGGTGACTCTTTTTTCGTGACTCTTAGATGAAGCAACTAGAAATATCTTGCTTCGGACCTTGAATCCAACTTTTCATAGGCTTCACGGCCATTACACAGACATCTCACTCTCTTATAGTAAACCGCACCTCATCAATACCGAATTTCTTAAAAGCTGAGCTAGCTTATCTTCACTTACACTAGGAGCTCTACGACTTGGCAGTCTCATACTTCTAGAATCTTGACAGTCGATGATAACGATATACTCAACCCAAAGTGCATACATATTTCCTAATTAAAAAAGCACATCGATCTACTGCGAAGATGTGGTCGTCAGCTCTTCGGTCAGCTAAAAGCGTACTTCCTTATGCAACAAGGAATTACTCTACCCGGGCTCGACATCTTATGTCAATCAGCGATCTGACCGGTGCTGAGTTTTCACAACTGGTGTTAAATGCTGCGGCTCACAAAAAGGCTGTTAAATCCGGTGGCATTCCGGCAGGCCTGAACAAAAAGTTAACGGGACAGACGGTAGCCATGATGTTCAGCAAGCTGAGCACCCGTACCAGAGTCTCAACGGAAGCTGCCGTGGCTATGCTAGGAGGTCATCCTATGTTCCTTGGGAAAAACGACATTCAACTAGGAGTGAGTATATTCAGAGTATCTCAAGTCAGCAAGAGCTGCTAGCTAATCAACTTATTTTCTAGGTAAATGAGTCGTTGAAGGATACGTCCAAAGTTATCTCGTCTATGACATCCTGCATGGTAGCTCGAGTCGGGCCTCATAGTGATGTTGCGGACTTAGCAAAGTACTCGAGCGTTCCGGTCATCAACGCGCTGTCTAATGATTTCCATCCCCTTCAAATAATTGCTGATTTCCTTACGATCCACGAGTCCATTCCCAGGGCTCCTACAGAGAGCTTCATACCAAAGGGGTTGAAGGTGGCTTGGGTTGGAGATGCAAACAATGTATTATTCGACTTCGCCATCGCTTGTCTAAAATTGGGTGTCGAGATATCAGTTGCTACGCCTCGGGGCTACAGCATCCCACAGGACAAAGTAGAGTTGATCACAAGTCAAGCCGAGTCTACACCCACACCAGGTGTTCTAAACCAAACTTATGTTCCGGAGGAGGCCGTGAAGGATGCCGATATCATAGTAACTGATACCTGGATTTCCATGGGCCAAGAAGAGGAGTCCAAAAAACGACTGAAAGATTTCTCTGGCTTCCAGGTTAGCAACGAGCTGGCTAAGCGAGGTGGAGCAAAGCCAGACTGGAAGTTTATGCATTGCCTTCCTCGTCACCCTGAGGAGGTTGCCGATGAGGTTTTCTACTCTCCTCGGTCCCTCGTCTTCCCGGAAGCAGAAAACAGGCTCTGGGCTGCTGTTGGTAAGTGACGTCTCCTTCCGAACTTGTCCATCTCAATGCTAACCCCTATATAGCGGCACTCGAAGGGTTCGTGGTAAACAACGGGGAAATATCCCCAACTTCCTATACGTAGTTCTAGAGAGGGTAAAATTGTCTACTACAGGGCAGCATATACTGGTTTAGTTATGTGAGATTAATCTAGCAGTTTCGAGGTAAATGAGGTGGTGTTCAAAATGCTTTCTATTCTGATACGTGTATCAATTTCGGTTGGCATGGTAAAAAAATGGGATCACTGAGAAAATTTCAGGCTCTGTATAGAATGGTTCAAGTAGTTCGCACTAATGTGACCTTATCTACAAAGTAATAATATCAAAGTAAGCCAGTGTAAAAATTTTCTGACCACCAACGCCTAATCCCCTCCAGACAGCCAGTTTATCCAGGAGGTAACTGGCTGGCGTCTACGATCTCGTCTGCCTCTTTAACAAGACTCCTCCTCGTCGGGCCATATAGAGGTGATCGAGGGCAATGCCATGAGACCTGTTCGGGACGTCTAGAATTCCGAACGGTGCGATCAGTTTTAGGAATGAATCAATCCTGACTGGCTTGGCAGATCTATGAACTATTAGTATGAATTATAATGATTCGATGAAGCTTAGGTACTTACACTTCAACAATACAACTGCTGTGTGCTGATATCCAACACCTTGCCTCCAAACTGGTGGGCAAAGTAAGTTATGGATCTGAGATGCTCATGCTTAAGTCTCAGGGCCTGACTAGCCACCATTTTGCTGGGATGAAAGTCTTCAGCGATATCTTCTAGAGTCTTATCACCCGCCTCTGCTTGGTCAGACTCGGCTGTAATTTCGCGGTGATGCGCTAACAACTCCTCGAAGTATTCCGGCCCCAAGATATTAACCTTGGCAAGCAGCAATTCCCTTTGGACTAGAGAGGCGTTTGTGTAGTCTAAGACGGCCCAAACGGGTACTAGATCCTCTAATTGCCGTCGCGCCTGCTCAACCACGCCGTCTTGCCCGGTAAGAACAATTGTCATGCGGGAGAGATCCTCGACCTCGGTACTGCACACGACCAGAGAGTCGATGTTGAAACCGGCGCCGCTAGAATACCAGAAACTCGGGACAAAACACCAGGCTCGTTCTGCACTAAGCAGTTGAGAACATGACGTTTTGGTGGGGCCATCGAGGGTGTCGGGGTTTCGTAGAGAATATTAGAGACGGCCGCTTGTGCAGACCATGATGATGGTATATCGTTGGTAGGAAGAGGAGCTTGACGGCGGCGAAGAGCTTTATAGGCAATGGCCGAAGTAGAACTTCTACTAGACTCCATCTGAAAGATATCTGAGGAATGGCTCGTACGCTCGAGGCGATAGCCTTGAAGCAATTGGCTTGAACAATTGTACGGGACGCCATAATTTCTGATCGTAAACGAGAACTTGAGAAGTTCTCTGATCAAAATGGCAGTCCACAAAGCCTTACAGAAATTCTGGCGGGGCTCAATTGGTAAAAGTTTCTACCAACTTGACTCACCACTTAGTGGAAAATTGTGGCCATTAAAAAATGCTATGAAAATGTTGGCTGGTTGAAGGCGACCGAAATAAATCTAGGGTAGCTCCGAATCCCGGAGTTACATGTACTTAAATGTTAAATGTCCCATAGGTACCTAGGTACATGTATTTCTACAGTACGCCCCTTGTAATAATGTTATTCAGCGGACCCCTAGAGCTTTGCTAAAATCCTGAAGCGTATATCTATTATCGCCCTATGAGGTTGTTATAGCTTTTCGAAAACGTCGTTTCAGGGTATTTTATGCTATAAAAACCTGGTATAATAGTTGAGATGCTTTAAAGGGCGTTTGTCTATCCAGAATTAGAAGCCTTGTTTTGTATCGTGCACGTCCAGTAAGCTAACATTATTACAAGGGGCGTACTGTACATACCTATGCAACTTTGGACCCCACCTTAACCTGGTTACAACGGGCGGGATCCACGGTCCAGACTTCTGGGTTCGGATTATGTATGTTCCCTTTTCCGTCGCGTTCATATTGCTTATTCTCTTTCTTACGGTTCCGTCTAATTCAAACATTAAGCTAGGCGGAAATCTCGAGAATTATTAACTGCCTATACCTTTTTCAACCTTAATTTTCGACCAACCATTCCATTCTTTATCCAAACTAGCAATTCCTGCATTGCGCAGCTTTCAAACTTCTGCGCATAATTCCATTACAGACTCCCCGTATGCTCTGATACTTGATTGATTTTCACATTTCTTAACCATCGCGACATTTATAAAAATGGACGACACGGAGCGACGTACCGCAAAACGATCTCGGTTCGACCAGACAGAACCCGAGCCGCGCCGTTCTCGATTCGATCGCAGGTCGCGTTCCCCACCAGCGAAGAGGTCTGATCATGGTCGCGATGGTCGCGAACGTAGTCCATTGGGTAAGGATGGAGAAAACAACTCGCATGAGTCTAAGAAGAGTCCTGTCGACCCGGCAGCCGCAGCAGGTATGTATTTATTCTCCAGAATGGAGCTTTATAACTTCGTCAAACTAACTGTCCGTCTCTAGCTGCCGCCGCCGCTAAGATCAATGCACAGATCCAGGCAAAGAAGGGAATCCAGCATGTAGACGTACCTCCGATCAAGTCAGCGTCGTCAGCATCTCCCGGTCCGAATGCCGAGAGCACCCCGGGCGCCATCAACACCAACAATATCAATGGCGAAATGTATATTGCCGACGGCGATTATATCAAGGATATCGAAGTGAACGACCTGCGAAACCGATACCTGCTCACGAAGAGTTCCACACAGAAGATGGTAAATAATACCCTTGGTTAATTCCTACTGATTTGCACCAGAGTTTCAGTCCTAGCTTGGTGGTTCTTTTCCAGTGTATTATTATCGTGTGCGAAGAGTTCTGCTTACATGGAAGCGTGCTAGCTCGCACACGAATCCCCTCTGTGGCATCTGCTGACCTCCGCTGCTTGATTTAGATTAAAGAAGAAACCGGAGCTGGTACGATACCTCCTAGCTGTTTATTGATTTATTGTTAGAACCATAGTTGACTTTGAAAGATGTCACGACCCGAGGCAATTATTACCCGGATAAAAGCATGGCCACGCCATCGGTAAGAGAAACACCTCGATCAACTTAGGGAAGCTCATGGGACTAACGATGGCTTAGAACCCCCCCTTATTCCTCCATATTACCAGCACCTCCAAGACAGGACTGGAATCTGCTGTTGCCAAGATCGAAGAATTGATGAAGCAAGAACTCCCGAATTTGGTTGACGAGCGACGGTTTCGACGTAGAGATCAGGAACAAGTCGAACGTGATGAGTTTGGAAGGGTCAGCTAATTATACTTCTTCTATAGTAGACATATACTAATGTTGAGCAGCGTAAATGGCCAGAGGCGAAAATCCCGATTGGTCTCGAAGAGATTCGAGGTTTTAACCTTAGAGCGCAGATTGTCGGACACGGTGGTTCTTACGTGAAGCATATTCAACAAGAGACCGGATGTCGTGTCCAAATCAAAGGACGTGGGTCAGGCTACCTTGAAGCCTCAACTAACCGCGAAAGTGATGACGAAATGTACCTTCATGTTGCGTAAGTATATGGTGCATATTCCCCCGTCCTAGTTATCTAACGATATATATAGTGGTCCCGATCCTAAGATGGTCGAGAAAGCCAAGGAGCTATGTGAAGATTTGATCACCAATGTTAAGGAGCAGTACGAAGAGTTCAAGAGCCGACCACCGCGCCAACACTATGGTGGTCATGGTGGCCATAATGGTAATGGTGGTGGTTACGGGGGCGAGAGGTCTTATGGTGAACGATCTTACGGCGGTGACAGATATGGAGATAGACAAGGGAGTGGCTCGGGCTCTTATGGTGGATACGCTGGTTACAATAATTCGCCCAATCCTGCTGCAAGCTCGGCCTCCCCTGCGCCTCCTGGTCAAGGCAGCCCACAGAATGCTAACAGCGACTACGCTGCCCAATACGCCCAGTACTACGGTGGTCAAGATCCCTATGCAGCATACGGTGGTTACGCAGCGTAAGTAATGTGCCCACGAGGAAATGCAAGATCGCTAACGCCATTCCAGATACGTGCAGTATTACCAGCACTACTATGCTGCAGCGCAAGCCGCTCAGCAAGGCTCACCAACACCGCCAGTTCCTGGTGCCGCCGTCTCCCCTCCACCTCCTCCACCTAGCGAAGCCCCTCCGCCACCGCCTCCTGGAGGATCTGCACCACCTCCCCCTCCTCCACCACCCGGAGCTGGAAGCTATGGCGCTGTAAGTCATTTTACCAAGAGATTATAGTATATACCAACTAATTGGTTGTGTCTAGGTCCCCCCTCCCCCTGGACTATGATCAAAACTTAAATTTGGAGACCTATAGGACAGACATATCTTCTATACCCTAACAGAGGGATTCATGGTATTTAAGGAGATAATGAGTTATTCAAGAATGCGGTCAAAAGGGATATCGGAACGAGGTTTAAGGCTCTATTAGAGGTAGCTTGCCCCGTACAGCAGCCTAGATAGTATTATTTGACATTTATTCTCCGAGCAGTACATTCTTTGTTTTTGAGCGGGCATGTACCAAAATGCCTTCGTGCACCTAAGGTAAACCATAGCTCTATTTGTTATATTTCTTGCTTTTAGGTATGTAAATTAGCTCTCATCTCATTCATTAATGTAATACGCTTATACTCCAGTGGAGCATATGCTTAATATATTGCTTATCGATAAGACTACGTCAGTTTATCTGGACCGCTGAAGGGTTGCAACACTCCATTAATTCTACTAGCTTTATTCCATGACCATGTAAATGATTCATGCTCAAGCTCAGGGGAATATCTGGGTTCGTTTAGGGGACATTTATGAACCTCCTCCCTTGATACTTCTTATACAATGAGTCACCAACGGTATCCGTCGATAGATCCCAAGGAACCTCATTCTGTCTCCTTGAAGGTCCTCAGGTAACCAACGCTAACCTACACATGTCCTTACTTTGTTGACGATAGGCTCTAATATTATATTACTATAACTAGATTATCCAGGCCCTCCCTCGTAGTCCAACACCCTCTACCAACACCTATCTCCCTACCTGCATCAGCCCAGCAGGAACCTCCGATCCCCGCCTCCCTCGCCTATAGCACAAACGGCGACACGAATCCAGACCCGTTCCTCCTCGCACCAATCTTACAACTACCGCCATCTTTCGGCTCCGCATACGTCGGCGAGACATTCAGCTGCACGCTCTGCGCCAATCACGATGTCCCGCTCCCCGGCGAACTCCCCGCGGCAGCAGCACCAAACTTAGCCCGACGAGCCCGCTGCACGCGCCCAAGCGCAAGTTCACGCGCGACGTGCGCATCGAGGCCGAGATGAAAACGCCCGGGTCCAGCACCGCGCTGAAACTACCTCTACTAGGTGCCGACGGCGCGGTCGTCGTCGCGGCGGACAGTAATGCCGACGGCGCCAAGGGCGGTCACAGCCACGGGGGCAAAGGCGTCGATCTCGAGCCCGGCGACACCCTGCAGCGCATCGTCAACTTCGACCTCAAGGAGGAGGGCAACCACGTGCTCGCCGTGACCGTCAGCTACTACGAGGCGACCGAGACCTCGGGCCGCACGCGCACCTTCCGCAAGCTGTACCAGTTCATCTGCAAGGGGTCGCTGATCGTGCGCACCAAAGTCGGGGCGTTGGTGGCGCCGCCGCCGCTGCCGTCGCAGCTGGAGTTGGAGTCGGAATACGAGAAAAGGGGAGAGGATAGGAGGAAATGGGTCATGGAGGCGCAGCTGGAGAACTGCAGCGAGGATGTCATGCAGCTGTCCCGCGTGGGCTTGGATCTGGAGCCCGGGCTTCGCTACCGAGATTGCAATTGGGAGGTTGCGGGCGGTGGGGGAGGGAAGCCGGTGCTGCATCCGGGGGAGGTCGAGCAGTGCTGCTTTGTGGTGGAGGAGGTGGAGCCGGGGCCGGATGGGACGGGGTTGGAGATTGATGAGGATGGGAGGATAGTGTTTGGGGTGTTGGGGATAAGTTGGCGGAGCGAGATGGGGAATAAGGGGTTCTTGTCTACGGGGAAGTTGGGCACGAGGATTGTCAAGTGAGCGGGTTGGTTGGCTGGTTGTCGATGAAGCTACGATGACGACGGGATATGAATGGACTTGCTGCGAGTGTAGCCTTTGGTGGCTACGGCGAAGAGGGACTACGATATCTGGCTGCAACGACTTGTGGGTTCTAGTATTCGCATTAGGTGCTACATACATGGGGGCATGACTAGGTAGGTAGGTAGTTATCAGGGCGACGTCTACGCGGTTTACGAAGTATGAAACTTGATGGTTGAACTACATCGGGGATCACGACATATTTGTGGATAGTGTAGGATAGGCGTGTCATCGCCATTTCTACCAGCATGCACCCGAAAGATTTATTGTCGTTAATATATATCATTGGCATAATTCGGGTCTTTAGGGTTGAGGTGATCCCGGAAACTAATAGTCTTCCTATATTACCTATCTGAGCATCTTACCCAATTAACGATGAAGTATTCCCAATCAGTCTCTTCTACCTATACCTACGTTATGTAGTATTACCACCCTAAGAGCCGTATACGGGGTATAACACCGATGCCATAAATATCGTAGCATATTCGCGACGACACGCAAGCTTCTCCAGTTACACCTATCCGGATATTTGGGAAAATGAGCTGTCAGATAGAAATTCTCCTACGTAGCACCATTCTACCTACATACGTACCATACATACCATACACCACGTCCATGTACGCCACTAAAACGGCCGCATGTTCGCGTCCTTAGATCGACTCATGGATTAGCTAGCTGGCGTAATGGGAAGCGGCGCTCAGACTTGGAGGACCCTAGAGATCCTAGAGAATCCCTAGTATGTATCTATCCCATTGGCCAGCTGGAAACGTACCGAGTGCCTAGGGCTAAGCTCTCGACGCATACACGAGTCCGTCCAAGTACGCATGCAGATGCATCATGCACACCCGGATTTTTATTTCCTGGCGAAGACGTGGGCGGGCGTATGTAGAGAGTGTCTTGCTTCCTATGCAGTTCATGAGCGGTGAAGAGGAAGCCGATCTTCTGGTCGCACCAAACCGGTTCCAACAATAATAGCGCCATCATAATCGTTCAAAATCCCGGACGAGAGAGAATCGGGCTGCATAGATTTACGAGGCCAAAGCGCAACGGATGAGCCGCTCTCATCCTCTAGGCACGACATGGAAGAATAAACTATATGATTTTATTCCTGATAGTTATAGCATACCTCGCAAGTTTTGGGGATTCCCGGAAAACTCCTGCGATGCTACCCTTTGCATGCTATTATTAAGTATGCGGCTGCTAAGTATCCTTTCCGGTCTGGAAGGTTTCATCGGACGCCAGAACAATATTGAATCCTTCTATAGTGTATGTATTCCAGCATTGTCCATCGTCAGACTTGAAAGTGGGCAGTAACCAGATAACCGAATCTCCGGAACAGGCGAAAGACCAGAGGATCTCGATAATTTCATATAAGCTTGGCCGCCGATCAACCACTAATTAGGTAATGAGCAGGATGAATAGCCAGCCTGTCTCGAAAAGTAATGGCGCAGTCTTGGCATTTTCTTCCAAAAACAACACCATATAATATATGTAAAAAAAAGCACAAAAGAGGACAATGAAAAATAGAAAAAAATACCTATTGACTTTTTAGCTTTTATTGTTATTATAGGTATTTTTTATAATTTTATTGCTTTAAAAATGGTGGAATTATAAATATATTTATATGGTATATTAAAACGTTATTAAAGATATATTTTTAAAGCTATATTTCTAGTGCATTATTATCTTAATAAGAAAATTAAAATGATAAAAAAGTATAATAGCCTTTTGCAAATAAAACGATATATATTATAACTTTATTACTATTTATTTTGCTTGTATAACTGGTGGTTCTTTAAGAAGGGTTAAATGCCAAGACTGCGCCATTACTTTTCGAGACAGACTGATAGCTTAGGGTGTGTGGCCTATTTTGGAAGTCGTGAATTACAACCCAGTTTGAATGCTGGTGATCAACTTCAAACGTACCTAACACTAGCCATAGCTCTAGGTGATACGCGGGCAACTCAGCAACGTGGTTAAAGGCCCGTATTGCTGACAGGCTTCTCGTAATAACGAAATTGCCATGTTCGTTACTTAACTGTTATGGCGTGACAATATTGCCTGGCCTCAACTGAAGGTCAGTATGTAAGTGACCAAGTCAGCTAAGTTACGAATCCGCTCTGACGAGCGTTTGTTCCAGCTACGTCACTTGTGCGGCACGGCAATGCTGTACCTGATGCTAGGTTACTAGGACTTAAGCATGGATCCATGGATCAGGTGGATTGGTGCCTCCATGGCCTCCATGAACGGTTGCAAGGATCCCACGAGCTTGTCAATCACGAATACAAATCCTGTGAGAAGATGACAGGTACAAGGTCAGGTACAAGGATCGGAACTCTCTAACGAGAACATGACAAGCTTCAGATTTGCATGTCCTCGGCTTTTCCACCCCAGGATTTCACGTTTCTGTATATATGAAACCCACTTGAATGTTCGGGACAAGAGGAAGCTTAGCTTAAGAGCCGAGTATCTCCAAACAGGTTCTAAAAGAATTCGGTATGCGGAACGCCCAGGATCGGCGTACATAGACCAGGAACCGTGAAGAGCGGTCACCTCACCGTTGTTTGTAAGGTTGGATTGATGGGCACGGCTCTCGGGGTCAACCGCCATCTTTCGATTTCTGAAAGAAGGAAAAAAAAAAAAAAAAAAAAAGCAATAGCTGGGTGCTACTGAGACTTGAATAGACTTCCCATCTTTCCATATTTTCGGCTGTCTACTGTGTAGCCTGGCCGCTAAGATCCATGGAAAAACCCCACACGTCTGAAACAAATACTGGCCGATTTCCGTCTGGATATCTGCAGCGGCGTCAAATAGCCATCGGCTTTAACTAGCTTTAACTGATAGGATGTTGTTCACCGGGGGGTAGAGACCATATAGTAATGTGCCTGATTGTAACCCGAATAAATTATGCGATATGAATCAGTGCTGCCGCCGCCTTATTATTGTTGATCTGACACGTTGACTCTCTACCCGAGAATCACGTATCTATTGGGTCAGATTGGACGACAAGATCGGGCGAGGTGCGTCGCTGATAATATATCGTGCTTAAGCTTGCCCCTAGGTATCTGGGTATCTGGTTATGTAGATAAGTAGTCTCGAAAAAAAAAAGATAAAAAGGAACAAATACCACAGACAATTGTAACCGTGCGCTAATCCCGGCTAAGACCGTGAGCTTTTTTACTTAATGATCTCGATATAAACCCCTGGATATGTAGGAAGCTCTGGCCCCTATGTATGCACCATAATGGGGGCATGTCTTAGCCACTAGTTTCTAGCAAGCCTAGAAAAGCAGCAGACCATCGCTAGCCCACAGGCTCACAGACAGGATCCAGTGGAGTATGTCTGCATCTGAAAGACCACATTAACAGGCTAGGCCATACTCGAAATAGATAGTGGCCTTCTGTGGTCTTCGACGTAAAAGTTTCTGCTGATGTTCTAATACGAGCTGTATCTTTCAATCTGGGACTAATAGGGGTAGATGAGATTTTCTCAACTTGTTAAGACGGGTTGAAGAGGGTGTAATGCCCCCCTGAATGGTAGGCTATGCAGGAACCATCAGATACCTACATGCGAATATTCCTCCAATTCCTCCGACGACCCTTATTAGTTGAGTACGTCTCCCCTCCACTTAGAAGGGAAAGGAAATATTAAAAATAGGGGAAAGAAAGACATTGAGACGCAACGGTCCGGATACTGTAGGCACTAATAGATAGCCATATCCTATGTATCTGCAAGGTACGCAAGACCAAATATCCGGACCAGTAGCTGCGAGTATTTCTTTGACGCCGGATACTGGCTAAAGAATTGGTCGCATCTCTAACGACTCTTATGTATTGCCCTAAGCTATAGGTATTCGACCTTGTATTGAACGGCGTAGTATAGTATAGTAGCATAAAGACGCACTAACGATCTCGCTAAGATAGTTGCATGTTCATCATTTTGTAGTTTCAAGATGCGCACTAGAGAATGTTATAATTTTTAATAGCCAGATATTACGCAGATAGGCAGATAGGATAACGGATGATGAAAGGGCTGTAGCTGTATGTATGTCCGAATGCACAGCTTGTTGAAGATGTGTTGTTCAAGATAGTGTTTCACCGCATGAGGCAAGCATCCATGCTATTCTGTCTGTCGTTGGTGAATTGTCCAGTCAAGGATGTCTTTTTCTTTTCGAGGACCTGACTCCTGATATTGTATGCAGTCTAATATGCAGGTACCTAACCTTTTGTGGTTCAGATGATCAATGTTGATGAAAGAAGAAAAAAAAAGAAAAACATTGTAAACATGAAAAAGGTTTACGGAATAAATGCGAACCTTCCACAACTAATGTTCACAGGTTCAAGTAAATACATGTACCTATGTAATAGTGGACATGTTACAATGACCTTTGAATCGGAAACTGCTAACCTACAGGTCATTGTATGCATGCAGCTGCCTACAAAATATATCTCGCAGGCGATTCGGATAACCCCCTAAAATGTGGCTTTCCCAACTGCCAGACTAACTAAAGCGGTACTCCCATAATTCCCCTGTCGGGTCAACTCAGTGCTATTTTACCCCTGTAAGAGGGGGGGCGGGACAGGGGTTCAGGGTCTGGGCGCTGGAGCTATGTTGTGCGATACGTGATACGTAAAAAATCCCACTATGTACAACTAGACCTGGAAAGGAAAAGATGGTGGGGTTAGTTAGCGGGTACGTAGCCCCCCGACTGTCCAACTGCATCTTTTCGTTCATTTCGTTCATCAACCATCTTCACCTGCGCGCACATTCAAGTGCCACATCCAATGCCACGCAGGCCCCTCTGCCCCTTCCTACCTACCTAAACTTACCTATGTAAGGGTTTTAATTCAAGGTAGTTTCTGGGTTTGTTTTCTCCTTCCACGACCACTCGTTTAAACTAGTCCGTCATTGGAGATTTCCAAGTTGCTCCAGAGTGCTCCACGAACCTGGGGATCGATCTTTTGCATTACCAAAAACACTCGTTTTCTTGAACATATCCTTTTGGAGTTCATCCAACCTACCAGCCTAACCAGCCTACCAGCCTACCAACCTGCCAACCTGCCAACCTGCCAGCTTGGGAAGCTGTTTTCTCTCCTTGTCCAGTCAAATTCCCATTTCATCCGCCCATCCTTATTCTATCTCATCCAATCCAACAAATTCATACACACCTCGAACTGCCCGCCCGCATCCCGTCGTCCACCCACCCGAACGATAACGCCGCATAGGGGCATGCAGCTGCATTAAAGCACTGCATGATTGTCTAAGGCTGTTTTGGAAGCATTGCATACCAATAAATCGTGCGTGTCTACCCGGCGCCAAAATAGATCCAAGCAAAAAATAAGAGGGCAGATAAACAGCACATCGGCTGCTTCTGCCCGAAAAACAAGACAACAGTCGAAAAAAAAAATTTACGACCGGGGCACTAGACGACAACTGAAAAGTGTCTTGCGGCTACCAAGCTCCTTTCGGAGAACGGGACAACTAACTGACAGGTCGTTAAGTGAAAACTAATATTTGATCTGTCGACACCCATCTCATGTCAATGGCCGTTTTGGCTTTGGTCTATTACGGTAGTTTGCTTCAGTAAAGACGATATATCGATATCCCCTCGAGCACGCTCCGCAGCACAGATCCTGCTGCTCAACACTACCTTGTCATATCTGACCAGTCATTCAATCGCAACTCTCTCGTTACTTTACTTGTACGACAAAATATATGCATCGGACACTGGTATCCAAGCCACCGATACCCACAAACCGGGTCTGAGAAACAAAAAAGGAACAAACTAACGCAGTTCAACCTGTTGATTGATATCTAGGGGGCCCCTGGCAAAGCTTGCTTTAAAAAAAAATTTAGTTTGACTTTTCCAACCTTATTACGGTTTTCACTTAACATTGTTCAATCTGGACTAAGAAAAAAAAGGGGAAAGCTATAGACCTGAGATGTCATGGAGAGCCCTTCGGCACCGCTCGCGGACTACTTCTGGATTGCGGGTGTCGCATCCGTGTCCTACCATGATCTCCCACCTCCAGCTTCTGCCACTCAGGTAGAAGCCACCATTACCGAGGATCGTGAGCCTGATGAGGAGGACCTGCCCGACCCGGCCGTTTCTCCGGCTAATAAGACAAATGCTCGACACTCCCGTCAAAACTCTAACAACCGACTTTCCAAGATATCTACTAGTTCGATTCATACCCTCGAGGAAGTAGATGGGAATACGAGGAGTAATAGAAGCAGTGCTACTATTAGGCCCATCCCTCTTCCTGCGGCCGCTGGCCATGAAAATTTCCTTGGCGATTTCGACTTCGACAAGGCCCTCGTTAAGTTCGCAGCCGAAAGGGAAAACTTTTTGGAGGATTTGAGCTTCTCAGCTGGTGCCAAAACGCAGTCGCGGCCACCGATGGTGAACCCGCGCGCAGAGAGGATAAAAGCTGATGAGTCGAGTGGAAGGATGAGTCCTATGAAAAGCATCAGGGGGAGCATCCGTGGTAGCATACGACGGAAAATAAGCTTCAAGGACATGAATAGCGTGCGCGCAGCCAACAACCCCGAGACCTGGTATGGCCCCTTTTAGCAACCCAGACCGAAGGACCTTCTTGAATGAGCTGGTAGAAGGACTGCCTGCGGAAATTTTCGATCATAACTGCAACAAAGATTCGACGTTCTGTACTGACTTCTGCAAACTAGCTTCAATTCGCACTACTAGGAGAATGAGTAGTTATAACTCCGTCATCCCTCCACCCGAACCTCTTAACCTCGATCCGGATATGCACCCTCTGAAGCGACGCTTTGAACCCGAGCTCCTAGACCGGTACCCTCCCCGAGATAATACGGAAGGTTTAAGCAAGAGGGGGAGATTTCCAGATTATGTACCTATGTTTGCATTCCCAAATGACATTCATATCGTATCGTCAGATGACAGGCCGAGATCGACTTGGCATGGGTTCACGATGACATCGGATGATAACTCTAAGATCTACGGTGTAACCGTTATTGTATGGACGGCACTCACGATGGATGTGGCAGAGGATATCGAGAGACGTTGCGAGCGTTGGAGGCAGAGGCATATGTCTGAGGAGGAGAGGGAGCTTGCGGGCAGCCTTGGGGCACGTCTCGCTGCAGAACGTGCGCATCTATCGCAATTACTTGCCAAGCTCCCCACTATACCGTCTGGGTCTCACGCTCGTGAGACACTCGATGATCAAATTAGTGCGGTAGAGGAGAAAATCAGTCTGATGACAGAAATGTTGCGACCCCTGAGACATGGTGCCGCGTCGAAGATAGATGGCTTGACGGCTGGCGAGAGTGGCCTCTGGACACCTCGAGCGTACGGCATTCTTGGCAGAGATGTTACGAGAGTGGGCTTCTGGAAGGATTGGCTTCGGGCTGTCATTGTGCCAATGTCAGATGGCGGACTTCTTCGCATACCTCCAAGCTCTCCGCGAGTTGGCCGTTGGCAACCACTAGAACGATACGTGGTTAATCTATGCACCGAAGCATTCAGCCCTCTCGGCTCCAAGACCCAGGTTGAGATCGGTGTACGCGAGCTACGCCTGTATGCGCGGAAGGAGGCCATCAACGAGCTTCCGGGATCTCGCAATACTGATCTTTATGCCCTATTCAGGTCTCTCTCCCTCGAGAATATTGTCGCTCTTTTCGGAGTATGCCATGTCAGAATCTCGGATTATCTTGCTCTCTTCGCATACCGCGATGCTACACTTAGCCTCCCACGCTCTGGTCAGCTTATTATATCCGCTAGCCTGGGCGAGTATTTTCATACCTATCCTACCGGCACGGCTTATATCTGCTCTTGACGCACCTTGCCCTTATATCGTCGGTATTGAGCGAAGATACGACAATATCGTGCTTCCAGATGACGATTACGTCTTGGTTGATCTCGACAAGGACACAATTGACGCAACGGCGTTGCCAATCCGCCTCCCAAAACAACATCGTCGGAAGCTTCTTTCACTCTTGCAATTTGCGGCGCCGCATAGCTTACGTTACGGCGTCATGACAGGGCCGCCTCCCTATGCAATTGAGTCTTTCCCCTATGACTCCTTCTCCGTCGAGAATAGTGCTCTTGTCAACGAGAAAGCCTCAGCAAGTATGCTGTACAAATGGGTCGCACAGAATTCGTCTTCCTTTGGGGAAGCCGAGCCCGCAGATACCGTCAAGCCACCTGTGTTTAATGCGTTCTTGCATGCAAAGCCTGGGGCTGATCGGCCTACCACTAGCAAATCAAACAAGACGAGTCCTCCGTCATCAGTGTCACCAGTCTCTGTGAATTTCCCGCCTATGCCTGCCACACCAGTTTCTAGAAGCGACTCGGGATACGCACTATCGTCCACGCTGAGAGAAAAAAGATCGGGTCATTTCGAGAAGGAAGGTCGGCGTAGTTCGTCATTTGGCCACGCCCCTGTCCACCGACCTCACGCACCATTCTTTAACGGTCATCAGTCAAACCTATCCATCTCAGCCATTTCGATCGATTCGCAGTCATCTTATGGTGGTTACGCTCCATCAACCTACGCCCAGTCAACCCTAGCAGCATCTACAGTGATGCCTAACATGCTCGTTCAGCCTGTGGAGAACACTGACTCTACAATGTGGGTTGAGGGACATTGCTTCAATTATAGCGGTAACGATACAACCTCAACCTGTACGATTTGCGATGAGCGTTGTGAAGGTGACGGATGGTATAAGTGCTCTGGTTGTGGAGCAATTTCGCACGGACGTTGTCTTGGATGTGTTTGTCTCGTGTGTCCAGTTGCTTTCAACGCCGATAAGGTCCGGGCTTCTTTCGTTCGTTGCCTTGCGAGTATCCTTTATACATACCGCAAGTATCTCGGTCGGCCAACAAAAGAACAAAAGAACAACGGCCAACTTTACGGATTCGACATGAATGGTTTCATCAAAAGCTTGCCACACGACCAGCAAGAGTACGTAACCATGATGAAGGAGACGCAAGGTATGTTACCATTCTTAGGTTTTATCTTATGGTATTTACTAATCGTGCATTAGCATTTAACGAATTCATCCATGAGCGTGAGACGAAGCCTGCTACCAACCCAGAGATTCGGCTTTTTGATGACATAATTCTCGCCAAGAAGGCTCGCGGCAAAACCAGCCTGTCTTCGGGATTGTCGCGCCTCTCGACAATAAGGGCCTCGCATGGTGTCTCGGCATCCCTACCCGGCCTGCAGATACCATCCAGACACATGAAACCAACGTCTTTTCTAACAGACACATCTGATCACATATGGAGAACTGCCAGCGTTCCTGTACCAAGCTCGAAGTTTCAAGGCGATTATCATTCAGTGACAACAAGAATGCCGGCTCGGTTAGACCCTTCACTGATGAAGGAACCTCGTGCTATCCAAGGCGTACCGCATCCTGAACAACGCAGAAGAGGCGTCATGAGGAAGCAGGTCCCCAGTATGCTGATCCCTAACTCTCCCTAAATATTTCAATAGCTCGGGTTGGCTGTGCCGACTACGTGCACACAACCGCAAGCTGAATCCAGCAACTTGCTAGAATGTAATATTAACCTGGCCGAGGGCTTTCAGTCCGGCCCAGTCATGTACTATAGCTCTACGAGGGGACACAGGGGATGAGCGGGATGTCCCCGGAGTCGTATTCATCTGAGAAAGAAGAGATCACAAGATTGCCGTCTATATTCCGTTCCCATTCCGAACTAGCATCTGATGGCGACTTTTTTTTTACAGCATTAGACGAATGAAAGAATTAGGAGGAATAATGTCTAGCTAAAATTTGCTTATTAGACGAACTAGCTGAGATGGCTTAGCCTAGTTGAGAGGAGAGAGATGAAGGAGAAGATGAAAATAGTGAGGGTGAGAGGGAGAGGTTGATGATGAAAGAGGGAAGTGAAGAGAATCACTGTGGAAAAGACCAGCTTGAATATGTCGTTGGACTTATTGCAGAGATAGGCAGGCAGATCGCGTTCAATTTACAGAAAGAACCTCTGAAAGGCAAACATGCGGTCTTAAGATGAGTAGATGTTAATGTGAGTTATGCGTAATATAGCACGGCACGCATATAATATTTAATTGGACTATTGATTTGCATGTAACCCTTTTTGTTTTCTTCCTTCGACTATCTGAAAACTGTCGTTGTGTCCTGTGTTCGCTATTGCGGCGCCAAGCCCTCCCCCCCCTTTTCTACGATATGGGTATAACTTTGACTTTGACACTCGCTACCTGCCTACCCGCTCTCTGTGTGTTCCTAAATCCCCTGGTAAGCAACAGTAGTTCCTCTTACGTAGGTATGTATGTACTCGTTCTCCGTCCTTCGCATTAGGTTGACCGGACTAATGATTGGCTGACTACCCGAATGAGAACGTCGTATTTGTCTCCTTTCCTCTCTTCTCTTCTCCTTTCCCCCTTCATCCCCTTTCACAATGCGGATCTGGGATTCATACACTTGACTTCGTTTACTTCGCTCAGCGGCGAGGTTGATCCTTTTTCTAGCTGCTGCAACTTCCTCGCCTTTGCGGTTTCTGCCCCTGGTTTTTTCTGAACTACGGTAATCCGTACATCGTATCTAATGCGTAGGAGGGCCTGTTAACTGTCGTCTTGAGCGAAAGCCCTGGTAGGCTGGGCTAGACTGGACTTTAAGTAAGGCTCTTGTTCATCGAGTTCCGCCCCCGGCACCAGAGTTCCCTCGATTACCCGGATTACGACCGTCGCCTCCTGGATTAGATCTGGGCTTTGGTTTCGGTTGCCGCTCATAGGCGTTAGGACTCGGTCTGCGCCTGCGTTGGGCTCCACCTCCACCTCCGTTTCCATGGGTATGGTCATGGTCGTGATCGTGACTGTGATTATGGGCGTGTTGTTGACGCCGTCGTGCCGCTAGCGCCCTCTCTCGGGGGTCGTCTGGCATGCCGCGGTCTGAATCCGAGTCCGACGACGAGTCATCGTCTGATGAGGATTCGTCGGAGGACTCGCCTACCTGACTAGGTGGGTGGTATATGCAGCATACTATTATCACTATCTGTTAGAAAATTTGAAATTCAGGGGTTGAATGCTTAGAGCAAGAGTAAAGATGAGAGATATAAAATTACCTTTTGACCGCTTTCGTCCCAGTCCCTCATTATCAACTACGGACTCAGCCCATTGGACGCGGTGATCGGAAGCCGGGTGCGCGCCGCGCAGCCGCAGGATGGCGGGGGCTGCCGACGCCGGGGCCTGAGTGCCGGTCTGCGTTCTGGAGCCGGTAGGCGCTTCCGTCTGGACCTGGGTCTGGGAGCCCTGGGGGCGATCGCGCTGGCGCTGGGAATTTGGCGCAGACATTGTTTACGCGCGTATTTCTGTGTGTACCTTACGTATAAGTGGAGTGGGATGGGAAACCGTAGGTAGGTAAGTAATAATGAGAGGCGAGTTAGAGATAATGTATGTATGTATGTATGTATGTGTATACGTAGGTCGAGCAAGAAACTTCTACGATTCGTTTCTTGGTATTTACTGGCTCTCTCTCTCTCTCCCTACGACCGAGGATGGGAAATATGTCGAATGAAGACGGTATACTGGATCCGTGTTCCCGCTACGTTACCTGCGGCGCGTTGCTGCTTTGCTGTTTTGCTGCTTTACTGCTGCTTCTCCTACGTGCAGATTTTCTGCGGAGTAAGGAGGAGTAACGATCGTCTATGTATGCATACGTGTAGGCCTTGGAACGGTCGAGGGTTATCGAAGGATCAACAAGTGCCTGGTTTCTCGGCTTCTAATTGTTCGGCAGTATTCAAAGTTTTTTTTTATAGGATTTGTTTGTTTATTTGTATGTTTGTTCTTGTCTGTAACGTTCCGGACGCCCCGAGGGGTGCGCGTTTTTGTAATGCAGGCGGGTTTGGATTTTCTGGAATGAGCGATTATATGGAATTTTAGAAAATCTCCAAAAAGTTTCGTATTAATTTGTTTTCGCCCCCCCGCCGTCAACTCTCTATCTCTCTCTCCCCCGCTTCTTTTTTTTGTCTTGTCTGTCCTCTCCCTAGCTTAAGAAGTCGCGCACGAGGTACACACACGAGTTTGTGTGTGTATATGTGTGTACACTATGCAATATGTAATATGTAATAAGAAAAAGCTTGGGGTAATACTAGAATAACAAAGCTGAGTGGGCACTTTTAAAAGCACGAGACGGAGAAACGGGTAACCCGACCAAAGGGTTAACCAATACCTAGGTAATGATGAAGAGGGTGACTTAGATTATTGGTCTTCTTCCGCCTTAAGCTTCATATAAAACCCCCAAATTTATAATAAATATATTAATCATGTAACTAAGGAATGTTGCATTCTAGTCCTAAAGTTTCTAGACAATGGAATCGATGCATTTCGTGGGGAAAATGGGACAAAATGAATAAAATGGACAGGGAAAAACAATCAGGTTGTTATCGTTCAAAGCATCACCCCACCATTGCCCCGCGTCATAATAGGTATGCTTAGGTAGGTAGGTACCTCTGTACTCGTCAAAGCTTACCTTGTACTGTATAGTGAGGTACACACCTAACCCAGGACCCCGGTTCAGGGTCCGACCCATCTTAATTCCACCATGATTTAAAAATGAAAAGTTCGATTTCACGTGAGAAAGAGTTGCATCTTCAAAATTACATGTAACTAATATACCATGTATTTTATATTCATATTTTATATAATACATATTTTATTTCCTTTACACGTATAATAATAGTTGGAGTTGAGCTATGATAATATTAAAACGAAGAGGTAGCAGTACCCTCTCTCTCCCGCTTCCGGTGCTTCTCAAGTTTCTTTTGACCCTTCATACTCCTTCGGGGCCGGGATCTCCGTGACGCTGCAGTAACCTTTGGTTTGTTTAACACCCAACCGTTCATGGGCCTACGAGAAGATATAAACTTGCCCTCGGGAGTATACACGTCCACGATAGGCCAGTTAGGTTCATCATCCTCGCCTTGCTCTTCAACAGGGGGAGGGCGGGGTGCCTTCTTTTTAGGATCTTCGACAAGAGCTTCTAGCCTTTCTAATGCCGAAAGTTCCTTTTTCTCTTCAGATTTCTCAACAGGCGGCGTGTCCGATACTGGTCTTTCTTTGAAAAGGTCCTTCGTGCGCACTTGAGCGGTGATTTCTACCCACCCGACACCTTCAATTAGGATGTCAGTGGATAGAACTCGGTACGGTAGCCGGTCTATGGTTAAACCGACGGCTTCTTTTCTCATTAAGGGTCCGGTCCTTTTCGTTGTTACGTCCCATTTGAGCTCGAAAGAGCCTGCTAGTTTTGTTTTCTCGCCAGTCCCTGGTACTGCTATATTTTCAACGTTGACCTCGCCTGTCTGGTTCTGGATTCCAATCGCCTTCTCCGTCCTTGAAACATGCGCTTCGATTGGTGTGAACGCATATGCCAACATGATTGGTGCTGGTTCTCTCGGGGTAATGCGGATGAACCCACCAAGAAGTAAGGACCGACTTGGTGTAAGCGTCATTTGTTCTGGTATGACTCGAGAGCGCATGATCAAAGATAAGCGGTGTTCCTCCTTGACATACTTCTCAAGACCAGTGCGTTCTAAACCAGGAAGGTCGATTAGCTCTCCTCGGCCGTTTCCAAATGGAATCCGGATTGGCGATGCTGTCGTCCCTGGTAGGTCAGAAACTAGCGGCATTTCTGGGTAATTAGTCTCCTTGACTGCGGGTGGTAAAAGGGCGTATTCGTCAAGCTCCTCTTCCTCCATATCTTCCATCTCCTGAACTGCTAAGTCTTCCTGGGCTAGTTCCGGCTTGGTTTCGGCCTTCTCCATTGAAGTTGCATCCTTGCTTGATGTCCTTGCTTGCATTTCAACCGTGATTTGATGTTTCGAAGGGGGTAGATTCATTCTGCCCTTAGGAAAGATAGCTTCGAATAGTTGACTCTTGCCAACATTTGCCTTGCCGACCATCCAACCAGCACCACCCCGTTTCCATACATCTTCTTTCAGCTCCCTAGTCCACCAACTCCGTTTTGCGCTAAGGGCTATGAGATTACCTAGACGCACATTACGTCCCGTCCGTCCAAGAGCCTCCCGAAGTACCTCCTGCAACCATGGAAACATCCTGTCTACCTGAACTTTCGTCGGCGCGAGTAAATCGCATCTAGTTATCACGAAGCTTAGCTCCATCTTCTGATTACCATAGAACTTTCCCGTACTGGCACGGCGGTTCTTAGTCCTCAGAGGCATGGTGTCGAGCAGATACGAAAGTTGCGGTAGTAGAGACATGGGGAAGTCGGCAGCGTCGAGAACATGGTAGACATGATTATATTTGTATGGAGATTCGAGGATCGTATCCCTTATAGATTCTATCGAAGGATGATATATCGATTCTCCAGTATGGTTATGTAGCAATGAATGGCATCTATCGCATAAGGGAACCTTTGGAGGTGGTCGTTGGTTCGCCTCTGGAGGAACTATACTTAGCATAAGCGCCTCTACGTCAACACCCTTTTTTTCAGCTCCTCGTGATCGAAGTGTTTAAGCGCATCTTCGTAGACTTTATCCTCACGGCGGGAACGATTCGCCTCCTCGGGCCGGATCCAATTTTGAACAGCTTTGCGACTCAGATCATAATATCCAGGTTGGTTAGGAGAAATAGTTTGCGACAAGGCACCACAACCCCGGCATTGTTTTGGTAGCCTTTGTATAGAATGATTTTTCTGAGAGTCACTTTTAGAAAGTGACGAATCCTCTGCAAATGCATCAGCTTGCATGTGCAAATGACGATGTTGTATCCTCCATCGTGAAGTTCGTATTCGAGAAGACGATGCAGCAGGGCCAAGTCTCTGATGATACGAGGCAGTATTTAGGGACGGACATAAAAATAGAGGTAATTCGATTCTTCTTGGGTGTTCCGCAATGTTAAGTGCAGTATTGAGCCATCTTGACGACAAGGCGCGGTGCATCTTATCGTACAATGGGAGAAGAATATACCTAATAATGGCCTGGAGGGGCTGTAGTAAAAGAGGTTTAACCAAAATCTTTTTTAGAAATTTTTGGTCGCAACAAAGCTTAAGCCAGTGACGTTAGAGCTAAAAGAATCCCTGTACCAGTACCCCTGTTACCACGAGCGATAAGGTTATCGATAGTGTATGTATAGGTAAGTTTTCAGTAACGTTAAAGTGCCAGGTAAAATTTAATAAAGTGCCAACCCATCCACTTTCCACGTGACATAAGCCATACAAAGCCACAACGCCATAATAAAATAATGAAATAAAAAAAATATTTATTAGATTTTAGTTATATATATAATAACTTTACGAATAAATATAAAAAAAAATTATAAAAATATTTATTAATTAAAACAAAAAGTTACGTAATTATTATCAAATTTAAATAAAATTAAAATGAAAATTTAATATATTATTTAATATTTATATAAAATATAAAAATAAATATAAATTTACGAAATAAATTATAAAAATTTTATTTCTTTTTTTATTAAATTTATAAATTTTTAATTTAAATGAAAATAATTTTTATAAAATTTCAAATATTATATATATAAAGTTATTTAAAAATATATTAAAAAATAAAAGATTATTTTTAACCGCATTAGGATCAATTTTAGTCGTAGTCACGTGCAACCTAGATTTCCTTCTTTCTTCTTTTTTTTTCCTCCTGGTCTATTTGTAAATTTGGATGGAATTTCATAGAATTATTAATAATATATAATATATAAAAAGTGGTAAAAAATTACCCTGTATTAGTCAAATACGGGCCATTTTCATTATGGCGTTGTGGCTTTGGTGGCTTATGTCACGTGGAAAGTGGATGGGTTGGCACTTTATTAAATTTTACCTGGCACTTTAACGTTACTGGTAAGTTTTGTAACTTTGTACTGGTGTCAGCTGCTACGTCAATTATTGGATCCAGCTGTCCTTCTTTCTGTCCTTTATGTACAACTCAACTTAGCTCACCCCTGCATATTTCTTCTACCATCTTTTCATCGCACAGCAGCTATCTAAATCTAACATATTCACACCAAATATACAAGTCTCACATTAACAATGACAGAAAATCCCCAGGCTATGGATGATCCGGCGGCGGCGCGAGCTGCAGAGCAAGCACGTCTACGCAAGGAACGCCGAGAAGCTAAGATCAAAGCTGGGGGAGCCGCACGACTGAGCAAGATCACAGGATTGGGAGGAGGCATACAACGAGGTAGGATCCTTAGTCTTCCGATAAAATCCCCAATGATCTAACTAGTATATGTAGATCCAGTACTACAACCGTCGTCAGAAACCAGTACGCCACAAGAAACCTCAACCACATCAACTCCAATCACAAAACCCACCCAGGCCTCAGAACAGCATGGAGACCCGGACGAAGTCGACATATCGCAGCACTACTACGAACCGAATACAACTGCTCGCCTGCCGCCAAGCGCCACCCCACCCAATGACATCTCCGAAGCTCAACTGCGGCAGATGATCCTCGGCCTCGATCGTCAATCCTCCGCCACCCCACCCCAACCGGGCCGGAACCCGCTCAACGGCCCCTTACCGCCGATCCCCGGCGTAGAGGGCGTCGACGAAGACCCCATGATGAAGATGCTTTCGCAAATGATGTCCGGCGGCATGCCCGGCGGCGCAGGCGGTAACCCCTTCGCCGGGACACCTATGGAGGGCCTCCTCGGCAGTCTAGGCGGCATGAACCCCAACGCCAGCGGCGGCCCCGGCAACCCCATGCAGCAAGCGCAACAACCCCCAGTCGACAAAAGCGCCAACCTCTGGCGCATTCTGCACGCTGTATTCGCGCTCGGCCTGGGCCTCTACGTCGCGCTATCCACCACCTTCTCCGGCACGCTTACGGAGCGCGAGCACTCGGCCATCAACACCACCCCGATAGCGCGGAAACAGACAGCGTAGAGCGCACGCGCGCGTATTTCTTCACCGTGTTTGCCTCGGTCGAGGCGCTACTACTAACGACGCGGTATTTCATGGATAAGGGGCGGGAGTCGCCCAAGGGCTGGATGTGGACTGCGAGCGGGTTTTTGCCCGGGCGCGCGAGGACGTATTCTCAGCATGCGCTGCGCTATGGACAGATGTTAAGTACGGTTAGGGGCGATGCGCTGGTTTGCGTGTTTGTGCTGGGGGTTTGTTCGTGGTTGAGATCGTGAGGGTGGGGAGTATGGGATAGGGTAATGAGAATTAGACATTATGCGCGGTGGGTAGTAATATGACATATTATGTGTGAAAGGACGCTGGTGCGGTATCGACTCGCTCCCCTGAATGGCGACATTGGGCTGTTATCATGGGAAAGTTTATTTGTTTCTTCCGTCGGGGGTTGCGGTGTTTGATCCTATTTTAGATATTGTATCGAGTATGCACACAGCAATGTCTACAGCTATATAATACTGCTGCGTTGGAAGTCCTAGTTACCTTTTTTGCCTTTCTTTTTAGACCGTGCCAGTGTCTAAAAAAAGCCTAGTTCGTTAAGCATAGAGGTACTAGATCTGAGATTACTCCTGAGTCTTTCATTAACTAGTTGAATTATTTTAGTTTCCCCCCTTTGCATAGACTAAATACGATTGTCGTACTTGGAATAGTTGTACAATGTGCTAATGCCCCCCTTTTTAAGCTCTATGTATTCCATTTGATGCTTTCTCTCCTACCCAATGCAAGATTGCCTTAGAAGTACATAACTCCCCTAGCTAGGTAATATTATAACATTTAAGTAAATCAAAATAACTAGTAAGAACCTCCAAAACTAGGGGTATGGTCCAGACGGGCGCCGAATAACCCATCATGGCTCTAAAACCGCCACGAGGAATTTCCCAAACATACCACGTACGCTCCCCCTATTTTCTTTTACGCATGTGAAAACCACCGCCGTACTAAAAGCGAAGATGAATGTCTCTCTCCATTGCTTGTCAAGGGAATACTGTCTTGGTAAGAGCGTAGCCATAGCTCTGGGCGCAACGAAGAGTGCTAGCTCTTTTCTGCGGGCCGCTTTCTCTAAGAGGACACTCCATCCGCATAGGAAACAGCCAGATCCGACACAGATGCCCCCGTCGATAATCTGTCTGGACTGCGTGTCCTTCCCGATGACGTGCGGGCCGAGCTTCGTCCGTGCTAGACATACTCCGTAGTAGAAAAGGGTGATAAACGCGGCCAGGAATGACGACGAGCGTGCTGCAGATAGAAGCGCAGTTCGAAACCCCTTAATATTCTTCTTCCGGGCTAGTAAATTCAGGGGTAGATACGTGATCATAGACCACTTGAAGGATCGGTAAAACCGGGATAGGGCATGGTATTCGCAAGATGGCCCGCAACCCATATGCACGACTTCGCACGGAAATGGGATGGACTTGGCAGGATCGCCCCACGCCGGGGGCCATTTATAGTCTACGCACATTGATTGGAGGAGCGGTGCTTGTCCCGTTTCCTCACCGTATTGGAGCTCCCCGTGTGGCAACGCCGAAGTGCTTCAATAAGGCGGGAGTCTACCGCCGCGGCCGAGCTGATCCATTTCGTGTATGCTTTGGGTAGCTGTGAAGGTGAGTAGAACCACGCCCACATGATAAGGGCGGAAGATGTGGCGAAGATAGTTGGGTCAGCCAACTTCGATATCAAAGATTCAACCTAAAAACTATTAGTGATACAAGCCTCTGTTGGCTTAATAGCAGCTTTTTCGTACCCAAGTCCATTGCCCGGTGGCAACCATCCGTTGTCCTCTCCGGGACCATGCCTCACTGACTATCACATCAAGAGCTCTGGTAACCGCGAACAAAGTCAAGTCTAAAGTCCGACCGGCATATCGTACTGTTTCTTGCTTGGCGTTTTGCGGACCATCAGGGTTGATAGTAATCGTTTCTGAAAAACCATCACTCTTCTTCGACTGTAGCAGCCGGAGGCTAAGCCAGGCTGCAATGAACGTCGATAACCATCTTGAAAATCTAGTTGAATGAAGGTTAGTTGAACGTCAATTGATGATGGGTTGGGATATGCGCTAAGGCATACTGATGCCAAGCCTCCCCAATGAAACATTCACAGTTGTCATAGAGCTCCGGACTTGCCTTTTTAGGGTCAGGGTAGGAAGCTGACCTGACCATAGACGACTCAGAGCTCTACTAAGTAGAACCTTCAACAAGCAAGTTAGTATCAGGGTTTATTATATTTTAGGGTAGCATTGTCTATAGACCTCACTCGAGCAGCTATGAGCTAGTTATGGGAAATCTTGCCTCTAGTAACGTCGTTCCGCCTACGAGGGCCGCACAGAATGTTGGAAATCTTTGAAGTTCTAATCCCCCACGCAAGATACGTTGCAGGGATGAGATGAAGGAGTCGTGGGGCTGCGTGACAGTAACAACACCCTTGTCCCTCCGCCTTCTAGTTACATACTGGAGAATCAACGTGAGGAGCCTTGGTGCAACAGCAGAAGTGTAGCCTAAGACATAGGCCCGAATAAGAGGTCTTAGGAGGGGTGGTATAGATTCATCCAGTCTCTTTCGGGTTCTTGGTAGAAGTTGAGACGATGTCATCGTTACAACGCTCACGACTAACGCGTCGGATTACGTGATGCCGCGACTTGCGGACAAAAGGTCTTAGTGTTGGTTTATACTTAAGAATTACCTATGAAAAAGAATAGGTTAAGATAGTTTTGCTATGCCTTTATATCAATTATTGAGACACGCCGCCCGTCCAAAATGAAAAGCTTTAATCAAGATAGTTTGTCTTTGGTCCAATACTTTGCCAATGGGTTTGAGCAATTGAGTTTGCATTTGGAGGGATATGAGCTTCAGCGTAGGTGTTTTAGATATGTCAATGGTTTCCGGAGAATAGACAGTTGACGTCAAGTCTGCTCTGTGTTAGATAGTCTATGTCGATTGGCGTAGGTAATAAGCAACCGGGAACGGGGTCTAATGAGGAAATGCGGAAGCTATGCGTGCCGAACATAAATAGCGATATTAGGGAACTAACCGTGAGGTAATTGACTTGACTGATAGACCGCGTATGTAATGAGCTAGCTAATGAAGCAAAGCAAAGTTGTTAAATGTAAGGTTAGCTCACTGGGTTAGTCTCTTTTGGCGATTCAGCCGAGGTGCATTGGCGATAGTGCCCGAAGAAATAAAATGAGCAGATCTGCTTGTTGGAGACGTAGTTTCGTAGGAATATCTTGACTGAGCCACATATAAATTATAAAATTGGAGTGAAGTTCATGCATGCATGTAACCTGCGCTGCGAGCTGTAGCCATCATATAAAGCCGTAGAAGATGGATTAATAAAAGGGACACAAACTGGCCTAAAGAAGCACAAGTTAGTACTATGTAACTAAATCGGTCACCGAATATTTCTTGTACTGGGCGAACCCCGGAATTTTGGGGTCAAGATCTGGGATCGTCCAACACTATCTCGGCCGAATATTCGCATTTAGAATTCAGTTTAAGGATAGAAAGACACATCTTGGGCAACATGTTACCGACTTGATTTGTGGCGAGGGTGTTTGCTACTGCAATAATGATCACGGTGGATTTGATTATCTTGCGTATAGGCAGATAGGGTGGTGGGATGATATAATATACGTACAATAATTCTATATTATTTGCAAACAAGACATGGTACGGACGTAAACGACTGGATGCAGTCGGAGACAGCCCCAGTCTTTGCTCATGGGGAGCGCCGGGAATATGTATCGTGTGCGTGCAAGTCGACAACAATGTGACAACTGGATGATGGGCCAACTTATAACGGAATATCCTGCGCCACTATTTCTTTTTTTAAGAAGAATAGCTTGACTTGACTCGGCGATGTTAGGATTAATTCTTGTTTTGGACTATAATATTCCGACCCATCTGTAAGATAGAAAGTGGTGTCTATGAAAAATCTGGATGCTCGAAGAGAAAGAAATTGACATGTGATTGAGCCTCGGAGCGTTTCCCCTGCCAAGCCAAGAATAACTTTTTGGATGATGAAGTCAAGAGACGTCTATGCAATGCGGTAGGACCTCGAGTCAATTGAATATAAGTATCTAGGTACCTAAGTAGCTTTGTATACAGGTAAGCTCTCTAGGTTACATGTACATATGTAAATTTGCATTGAAAGGCAACTGCAAGGGAAATTATTCCTGTACCCAGACACCTCGGCTATGATGTTGTGTAAGAACAATGAAGGTCACCTTACCCCGTTCTTGCCTACCTCCTACATGCCCAGGTAGGTAACCCGTACATTCGATGTTTTTTTTTATTTATTATTTATACAACACATGTAATATACAACATAACTAACCCCAGATCCTAAACAGCTTGCAAGACTGGAAGAACGGAGCGTGGAGAAGAGCTCAGCACTAATTTAGACTCAAGTAACATAACCGTGACCTATTACCAATTGAGAATGTGCTATTAAAGCACTAAAATAGTCTTTGTTATAGGAAAAAGCGACTCCTAGCCTCCTACGTAATACCAGACAATAGTATTATGTTAATATCATAACTTGTAAGTGTCAATGGGTCGATAGAGGATAGAGAGGCAGATCATCGATAGACTCATAGCTTCAAGTTCTCCTCTTCTACCCCCCTCACCTCATTTTACTACCGGTACTTAATTCCGTACTATTAATGTACTATGCATGTAAGCATGGATTCCATGCCTTGTATTAGCTTAGTGTGGAAGGAACATATATAAGAAAAGCGCAAGAGTAAAAAAAAATTTATAGAAAAGAAGGTGGCTTGTTAAGCTTGCTCCTTACTCGTTACTTGATGCTTGCTACAATTACTATTACATACTTCGTACATACCTTCCTATACTTATTGCTAGCAGGTGACTACTATTAGGTGACTACTACTTATTTGCGGAGTAAAGGAAATGGTGATGGTGGTTTCTCTAATCGATTACTCGGTTTTCTCCAGCGAATAGTAGACGACTCCGAATACTTCCTGCTCGTCATTCTTTCCTTTCGTCCAATTACTATCCACTTACCATCCAATTACTATCTACTCTTGACGTGTTACACCACCTTTTAAGTGCCTTTCCCTTAATTGCAACATGCACACAACCATGCCAAAGGCCAAGCCGTTGACTTCTAAATAGATTGTCATAAAAAAACCACTGGGCCGCATTAGCTATCCACAAACAATACCTTTTACCTCCACCTCCACCTACCTTAGCCGACCCCAACTCGATACCTACCTACCTATTCACCCAGTCTACTTTTCTATGCTACCTACCTACCTTTAGGTATCCATGGAGCATTGTCGATCATCCCAAAAGCTTGAACGACCCGACGACTGGAGATAATACTCTTCTAGTTCAATCGATGTCGACTCCATCCTCTACCCTTACACTTAAGGGGGCCACTATAAGAAACAATTCCAGCCTGACCATGTACATGATTCTCTGACGACTCCGCTACTATTCCTCTTTTGACCGTTGATCCGCCTTGCAATCGAACAGCCTTGTCGCAACGTCGAACCGCACTTTGTTATAGCGACAATTAATTATACAATACCTACTCCATATACGAAACCGATTCTCCCCGCTCTTATACACGAATTATACCATCTTACAGACCCTCTATATATCACATATGTCTATGAAGTCACGATATCCACACCGCGCCTACTTCGTAAACTTCTATGCGACTATCACGAATCCCTCGCGAGTACTACTAGAACATAGAACGAAACACGATTTACGCCTTCCGCTCCAAGCTCTGTCACTCTAAGCTCTGTCACTCAAATTTAATTTGGGCATTTTTGTATACCTCTACTTTTGCGGCTAAAACTGATCAGAAGCACCCATGAGTGCCGCGTGTATACAACGTCCCAAAATGGGTTCTTCGCAACCGCCTGACGGCAATGCACCGTTTGGCTGTACGTCTCTCACTGTGTTCATATACAACCTGTTACTAGCAAACTAACTCTTCGATAGATCATGTTTCCGAAGAGTTCCTATTTCTTAGAGCCCCTACGCCTCCCCCTGGAGACCCTTTACTCAGTAACGACGACTCTAGACTATTAAATATCTTTTTCGAGGATATGACGTCCAACCAATATCCCACATCGCTCGGCGAAGGTCTCAACTTTAGTGACCAGTGGATAAGCGAACTTCCACCAGCTTTCCTAGGTCATACGACGTCCTTCGGGCAGCAACCGCAGCAGCCGTCAGCTTCTTCCATGAACGGGATGCCCGCAACTACATATCAAGATGTGTTTACCTTTGGCCAAAATATGATGCCACCACCAGTACCACATCCGCCGCAACCATCTCTACAACTTCAACATCCCCCACAACTCCAACATCAACATCACAGCACATCAGCCCCCCATACGCCGATCGAACAGAACACCCACGCCGACGTGGCCGCCGTCTTAACGTCCCTTCACCATGGTCACCAGAATGGGTATCCATCCAGTGCCAATGGCATAAATCGCACACCTATTGTACCTTCCCAACATGGAACCGCCGTCGATCAAGTAAGACAATCGCTTAGAAACCACATTGGCCCCGAACGGAACAGCTCCATTCGGCCTAGGCACGCTCCGCCTGGCGAGATCGATACGCTCTTCACGGACATGATGTTCGGAATTTCTCAGGGACTACCAAGCCAACGACCAATTGAGCCTCCCGAGCTACAGTGGGGTTCCGATTCGAGCTTTGCTAGAGCCCAAGGCTACATTCCACCCGAGCATGAATCCAGCGAGTTGCTTGAACAGAAACGGATGGGCGTTTTGAAAGTTCTCTCAATCAGTGAAAGTGCAGCGACGACCAGACCCCCAACCCCCGTAGGTAACGGGGAAAGTTCGACCAATCCTTTGCGTGATAGTAATACGAATGGTCACGTTAAAGAAGAACTTGATGGAGAAGGTCCACCCGCGAAGCGACGCAAGAGTAAGAGCAAGGCAAAGGAAGAAATTGAGGAAGAAGCGGAAGACTTATCGTCTATACCACCGAAATCCGTGGCAAGGAAGCGCAAATCGAAAGCAGACCTAAGAGGAACGTCAGACGCGTCTTCGACAGGCCAAGAGACTCCGGGCAAGCGAAGGAAATCTACTATAAGCGCAGCGAAAGCGGCACGAGAAAATCTTACGGATGCTCAGAAGAGAGAAAACCATATCAAGAGTGAACAAAAAAGAAGAGGCGCAATAAAAGAAGGGTTCGACGATCTAAGCGAGATTGTTCCAAATCTTAGGGGAGGCGGCTACAGCAAGAGTACTATGCTCTCGATAGCGGGAGAATGGCTCGAAGCTCTATTGAAAGGTAACGAAGAGTTGGAACGATTATAATTCTGTGAACGATTCCCTTTTCGTGTTTTCATGAGTGCGCCAAAGGAAACTACGAATTTAGTGAGCTCGCGATCTTTTTTATTACGCCGGAGTTTAACTTGGCCAGGTCTTTTGTTTCGGGTCGTAGCAAGCCGGGTGACGAGAAAAGTTTTTCCAAGGGGGTTGACCGCGGTTACGGTGGTATTTTGATTTTGATTCAACCCTTGTTCAGGTGCATACCTTCGGTTATTTTATTGATACCTCCGGAGTTATTACAGAGATTGGATCTTTTTTGCGGTCGGATTTTTTGTCTTGTCTCGTGAGAAAGGGCGTAGGAAAGACAATATGAGGTTATGAGGTTCACGGTCGATTTGCATACATACCTCTTACTACTACTGCCAGACAAATTTAAATACTAATTTGCTACGTCCGATATGTCGTGGATGGGTACCTATATATATACCTATATATACGTTTATAGAACATAGGAGCTAGGATCGGCTTGGTGCGTTGTTGGGGTATCTTGTTCAATTCAAAAGGGGTATCAGCAACTACCTACCTCATAGTAGTAGATGTAGATGAAATAAAGATCAAATGCCAATCATTGGCAAGTCTATATTAGTCCCCGATACTATGGAATCTCTCGTGCGCCGATATTGCGAATATTGGGATAATATGTCCGCAGAGATGGCATCTCTGGGACTCATCCTCGTCTTCGTCCTCCCAAGTATCTACGTCTGAGTCTAATAAGACTGCTATCGGTTCGGATTCTTCTATTAATCCATCCATAGTGTCAAAGGTATCTTCGCCTTTCCCTTCCTCTTCACTTCGAGGGATGCTCTCGACGGTATCCAGGATATTCGTAGAGGAAGACGTGGTATCAAGGACAGGCGCTGCAGGGGTAGTATCGTAAACAGTCCATTCGCGCAACTTATCCTCTTGCATGCGGAACATGCGCCCGATATCTCGCGCTGCTCCTGCTCCCGCGCCATTCCCCGTCTCGCCGGGTCCCGCTACCATCACCATGTTCGCCACGCATACGTTGATTAGAGCTAGATTCCACCCTTGTCGCTCCGGGTGCAGACGCCGGAATAAAGGGAGCAAGGCTTCAGAGGCTAGCCGCTCGGCTACGGCCTCAATACTCACGTCTTTGAGGTTCAGTACGAAACTCGGGAGTGGCTGGCTACGGGAGTTGCGGCTGAAGATCTCGGGCGTGGGGGTCGAAGTACCGTTGGGTTTTGGGCGCGCGCGTGTGGATAGGCGTAGGGTCTTGGGGTATGCGGCCCAGCGTAGATGCTGCTGGGTGTTTTGTTGCGATGCAGGATTTGAGGGATCAGGATCATCTGCTACGACGAGATCGATGCGCATTCGTCGGATGAGAGACGTGGCTAAGGCACGTAGTTCCCGCATTAGCTCAGAGGGCGTATTTAGTGGCCGCGCCATGTATGTGTCCTCAATGCTGATTTGTGTGGGAACGTCACTCGCTTCCTTGACCTCGGAGCTGTCCACGCCGTGGAGAAAATTCCATACTTTCTCGCCGCTGCCACGCTCTGCGCCGGGACGATCGAGGATTCTTTCTAGGAGGTCGGCGGACATGGATGCGAACTGTCGAACTTCGCGGACTGTTACCTTGGCTCCTATTTCTAAATCGTGCGAGTCTGGGGTTGTCTTGATGGATAGGACATGGTCTTGTATCAACTGCGCAATGCGAGAGCCGACACCTGGGATTTGTCGCAGCTTATGGCCGTCCATGAAGTCCTGGACGTCATCGTCGCGGAGACTGAGGAGTGTGGTTTGGTTCTGCGGCTTGTTTACGCTGCCGGCGAGCTTAGCAAGGGTCTTATTGGTTGAGATACCCCCACTGGAGGTATACCCGAAGTCTTCTTCTAGTTTGAGACGCAAGTAACCGGCTAGGTGAGATGCGAGTAATAGGCGAACACATAATGGATTATCCAGAAGCAACAGCAAATCTTTTGGATCTACCGACGGCTGCACGCACCCAAAGAATTGCGTAGCATCAAAATTGAAACCCTTTTCAGGGTCGTGTCGAGAAAGCTGAAAGAACGAGTCTTGCAAGGCATTACGGTTCAGCAGCTCCTGATTATACGCAATAACATCAGTGACATCGAGGAAGACCTCATCAAGCCCCAGACGCTCGGCACGATCGCTCCAAGAGTGACTCCTCAGGAAGGACCAAAGTCTCTTAGAGGCGTCACGGAATGGCGTCAGGTCCTCACCGCTAAGGACAACGAGGCCCGGGCAGATCTTGTGGGCCTCAGAGATAGACATCAGCTTCTTAACGCCATGGGCACGTGCGGCGTAATTGCATGTGGCTAGTATGCTCTTCTGCTTGACGCCTAGCGGCTGACCCTTGAGGCTCGGGTTTGCATTCTCGAGAACGCTGGCGTAGAAGCAGTCGTAATCCTGCACGTCCTGGTTAGTGAATTGTTTCTGAAATAAGACTAAGACTAAATGAGCTCTTAGCTCACGACTCTTAGGAGGAATATAAAAAGCTAAAGATTAGCCTACGAAGTGTAGAATGACGCGGTCGTCGTTCCTCTTAGGGGCTTTGGCGGCGATCGTCTTGGCTCGTCCCGACGTCAGCGCTGCTGTCTTCATCTTGTTCCATTTTTAGACAATGACGACGTAATCGGGGAATATAATTGATGATACTAGTATGTTCGATAGTGTGGCGCGTGGCTATACGTGAACTATCTTAGCATGTCTCGGGTTAATGGAGAGTTGTGTTTATAGAATTGTCTAAGAAGCCTAAATGTCGGATTATACATACAATAAGGAAACACGCTGCCTTAGGTAAGCATCAGCCACGAGCCACATAGACGAGTTGCAAGGTAACTTTAGGTACATTAGGTAATTGAGCTACCTCTTAGTAATGTAGCTCGAAAGGAAGTTTCAATCCTATGTACATATCTATACCTATTCCTAAACCTCCCCACAACATCCATAACACCCACAATTCCCCATGACCAGATGAATGATTAAACGTCATATTCTAGAACTTTATTGAATATACTGTTTCTATTTTCTCTCTCATCCCTGGAGAATTTTCTTGGGTTCCAATTTAAACGGCTTCCCCGGTCGCTTTTTCGAGTACTAGTATAGGAAGTTCCTACGTCGCCATATTTTCATCCCGTTCTAGTAATATAGCTCGCTACTAGCCAAGGGAGTGCTGGTCTAATTGTAGCAAGTCTGCAAAAGCATGGTGTTACTGCAACCGAATCTAGACAGGCGAAACAATGTTTCTGCGACTTGAGAAGCAAAGAACTTCCCAAGAGAGATTATACATGTTTTAAAACAACTTGGTTTCTTAATATAGGTAGGATTGAGATCTCCTGGGGATCTCCTTCTAGGTTGGTTAGCGGAACGGCACAGACCACCCGCTCCAGCGTTACAACCAGATTGTTCCGAGATGGAAAAGTGCCGAGAGCATGCCCATAATGCCCGAATGAGTTCCATCTTTATTTCTATTCTCCGGGGGAGTTTACTATTATTATTTCTACCCGCACCGATGGGTTCGTGGGAACGTGGCTTATGCAATCAGGAGATTGGCAAGGACCAACAATTCTCCTATTCTCCTAGAAGAGGATAGGATCCTCTAAGCCCGATGTAGAGTCACCTGCTCTTCTCAGAATATATGTGGACAAAGTCGACTAGACTAAGTATCGAATATACCATTGGATCTATTGGATCTCTAAGCTGCGTGTTTTACTTTCACCGCTTTAGTAGGTTCTAACTAATTCAACTATCTGCGAAACAACCTTTTCCTCCGAGATGCGGGGAAAACATCGTTGTCGACATAGAAAGGAATAGGCGCCGGAAGAAGCCAGAGGCGGCAATCGTATACGCGATATGGCCCATTAGCCGACCTCGCCATCCTCACCATTGCAGGCCATTGGTTATACTTAGCTAGGATCGCGCAGGAAGCAGGGATACGTCGGCGCTTGCGTCTTCAGTCATCCCTCCCTTCTTAAGTCCTCGTCACTTTTTATAGCCAACCAACGACCCAGACGTAGAAGTGACTGCATTTTACTGTCGCAATCAACCTGCGAGTGGTTAACTCCACGTTCCGTTTACCGTCTAGTTTCACTGATCACACTGCCCTGAGGTCCTATAGTTGTCTATACCGCTTCCGCAATTCCTTCTTTCACCCCCTTCTCGCTTCCGGGGTATTGTTGCTTCACACTGCATTTTGCATTAGTTCCATTCCTGAGCAGTTTACTGGCCAAGCTGACCCTCTATTCCCACGTTACCGGACCCATCGGTCTCTTGAAGCCAAGGGGTATTTTATAGCCGCCGTACCCCCTCTACCGGCGTTTATCTTACGTTGAGTTTAACACTTATTGTTTTCAATACACCCCGATTGGTAGGAAGGTTGTTTTGACGTCCTCGTCTGCTGGCAGCTCAGACAGAGCGGCATACTCGACGACCTTTCCATATATTTCCGTGTCGTCGTTCGTGGATCATATAGAGGTTGAATCTAAACGAACTCAGTTCGTAAAACCATCATCGCCATGGCAGGTACCGAGTCATCCAAGAGACCCCGACTGTCTCTTCAAACCAAATCTTCGCCGGGACCCAGCAGATCGAAATCCACCTTACCCAATATCAACCCAAAATCACCGACGGCTTTCAATACACTCACCAACTTATATGTCACTGCTATTGAAAGGTCGACACCGACCCAGCCGACTCCTTTAACAGCTATCAATCTTCTTCAACCATTAAAGCTTCAAACAGACTCTGAATCTCTCAAAGCCAACAAACCAAAGGCAGAGACACCTTATACCGCAGCGTTACCGGATACTCCTCTCTCTGCTAACCCTGTCTCGCCGGCTCAGCAGATGGACGTGGTATTTCCAAGTACCATGACATCGACCCCTCCGTTGTCCGCTGGGGCCGTCGAGTCATCTAATAATTACACATTCGCACCCACTGAGGTGAATAAACAGGAACCTCTATATTCTCCTGCTCAAACCCGGCGTCGAGTGATTTATGCGCCCTTTGCATCTCCTGCAAAAGCGCCATATAGCCGTGATAAATCTCTTCATAGCATATTACGCAACTCACCTCTACCACCTCCGAGTGCCATATCACCTATAACCCAGCGGAGACAGTCCCTTCGACTACAGGAAAATGCAGCCAGGCACGTAGGATACGTATCTCCGCTAACGCAGACTATTACGACTGAGAAGTACATTAAGTCCCATGTTGAACTCCTCGCGCAGACGATGCGTCTCCCTATACGCCTTCGCCGGCAGCGGAGGACTCCGACATGATACTCGATCTTGCAATGGCATACACAGGGGATGAAACACGTGATGGCGGGGAGACACCTGGGCCTTTTGAGGAAATGCGGAGACGTATGACAGGACTAGGCACGGAGACGCCGATTCACTCCCCAAGACCGGATGGAATCCGTAAGCGCAAGAGAAAGGAGAAGAGGCGAAAGTGGGTTTGGACTATCGGTCAGGACGACGAGGAGAATGAGAGCGGTGCTATGACCGCTCTCAAGGCTGCCGCAGAAGCATCCATCCCTAGGTCCTCTGTGCCACTGTCTCTCTCTGTACCTACGGCTAGACATACGAAGGCGACCACGGCGGAACCAATAACAGCGGTTCAAATTAGCTTTGAGTCTACAGAATCAAGTTCGGACCTAGCAAGGGATGGGGTGGATGTTGAGATGTCTGACGCGAGTAGCATATCGTCGAGTAGAGCTACTACGCCAGCTGATATTGAGTTGGAAATGAAGACACCAACGGTAGCTATGCTCAACACGACCTTACCGAAAGTAGAAAACCTTGGGGCTGTGGATCTAGTCAACTCCGAGACGGAAAGCAGGAGGGATACACCAATACCGCCTGATTTAGTGAGCAATGAGCAGTCATAATTCATGAGGCCAAAAGGTATTAGGATAGTTCAGCTGTTGAAGAAGATTGGTTATAGGCAAGTCCTAAGCCAGAGGATCGATATGGAACTATAGTATAGGAGAATGGAGGGGATTAAACGCATACCGCAAGGAATACGAGCACATTGGGCGGCCTGGTTGAATCAGCATAGGCGTTTTTCGATACCATCGCATTGTGTATTTCACGGTTTGGCATAGCAAAACGGGTGGTTATATGAGAATATGAATATGAATATCTAAATAAGATTTACTCAAATTACACCAATGGTTTACTTTGGATTATAATATGTTAGTTATTGATTATATTGTGAAAGATTGCTAGCCGCATTGCCGAGTCTGAGTCTAAACGAATAAACATATCATCCCTGATCGGGAACAGCTTGCGAGGCCACGGCACTGAAAATCCGAAGTAGGTACCTAACCTAGCAAGATATGACTTAGGGAAGCATGTATCAATCTTGATTATGTTGTAGGTCTAGACGGCGAATGACGCAAGTCTGTCTTAACCCTTGTTGTAGATCTTGTCAGTGCTCCCCACTCGCCCACGTTGCAGAGGGTGCGCCATGGTTTTCGTTCGCTAATCTGTCTTCCTTGGTTATTTTAATAGTTTTCGTTTTAGCTGATCAGCTAAGACAGAGGAAGTAATTATTAGATGGATGGCGTTTGTTTTATGTACTAAGCTATATCGGGAACTAGCAGGTAACTCGGGTTTCTTATATGAAATATAGGTAACACATGCTAGAAACCCCGTTTAGGTACTTAGGTATGTATTGTATATGTATATTATGATAGATACCTGTTTTAAACACAAAATCCAAAGATGGAATATGTAACACGAGTCTCGTCGATCAAAGTAGGATATAATAGAAACAAATAATTAAAACAAGTAACATGGGCTCGTCCCGGTCCGGTGGTTTACATTGCCAAGAAGCCCTATGACACCTGGGTCTTGGTATGTACCTAGTATCGCAAACTCGATATGCGATACGGCTGCAACGGGCTAGACCGGGGTGGGGGCATACAAGCTCCCCGCCGTCCAAGAATATAAAGACTTAGCTGCATCCACCGACGTCATACACTCCCGCACTGCTGTAATTCAATCTTACACATTTTGCAGCTGAAAGAGGAGAGATGAAAAGGCGTTTGACAGGATGATGTAAACTTGTTAATCTAAAGACAAGTATATCTACTTTTAAATTGAATAGTGTAGCTTAGGTACCTACCTATGTAATTAATAGCATATCTAACATATATCTCCATCTTCAACATCAAGTTCTTTCTTACTGCTCTCCAGTAGTTGAGCAAACGAGGGGTGGAAGGCCTATACTTCCTATATTTCCTATAGTTAACCATTATTATTATTATACCCCCTTGGAGAAGCTATTCCATGCATCATAGAACTTTCCCATCTCTATAATACATAGGTATTACACAAATAGGTATCACACGTCATGGCTTCCGAACAGCAACACCACTACCCAAATGGTGGTCACTACTCAGGGCATAACAGAGTCCCCAACATAAAAGAATTCGTCGCTTCTCTCGACAAGGACAAGAAGGAACGAGATGCAAAGATCGACGCCCAACCTAAACCGAACGTGAAGAATGAAGATATTCTGGAACACGAAAATGACGTTGAACAATATAGGGGAAAGGGCAGAGTGGTTACGGATCCCGTCACGGGCAATAAGGTCACTATCGACGACGTCAATTCTAATTTCATGAAGGCCGTACAGGATCCTCATGTAAGTCGCGTAAGCTAGGAAGAAAACACTAACAACGTAACTAATATCATACCTATGTTTAGCTATCAGTACCAAATGCCAATCTGGGGAAAGAAACGACGGTAAAGACAGATCCGACACAGTCAGGAGAGGAATACAGGAAAGCTCAGGATATAACGGCGCCGCCAGACCCCGTAGCTACAGGGGCTACTTCAGATGTGCCGATCCATGGTGAGAAGACGAATATACTCTTCCACCCCACGCCGTCGGTAAGCTATGAGCCAATGTTCGCCATTATCGAACAGAGAGCAACAGTGTTATGTATTGGCCTCGTACTTGGTATCATCTTCGTGGGCAAGTTCTTTGGAGGTAGATTACTGGGTCTAATTCCCTTGGCCATCTGTGTGGCTTCTGGTGTTTTCCTATGGATGAAGGATTTGGTTAAGCGAGGCCGGGACATCGAATGGTCGAGCGAGCAGAAGCGCGGTGAGACAGCCGTCGCTAACCTGATTCCCGAGTCTGTTGAGTGGATGAACACACTCCTCGGCATCGTCTGGGGCCTAATTAACCCTGATATGTTCTCCGCAGTAGCTGACACCCTCGAAGTAAGTCTTATTCAATATGTCAAATAAGAGGAATATTAACAGAAGCAGGATGTTATGCAAGCTTCCGTACCAGGAATCATTGAGAACGTCAAGGTGGCCGATATCAACCAGGGTAACAACCCCATCCGGATCCTCAGTCTACGAGCTCTTCCCGACAGCCACATGAAGGAGATCAAAGACGAGATGCATAAAGAGAACGAAAAAGTCAAGGATCCACAGGAGCTTGCGGCTGATGAAGAGGGAGGTGACTATTACAACTTAGAAGCCTCTTTTGCTTACCATGCGAAGCCCACGAGTAATACTGTTTCGGCAAAGGCTCAGAACATGGGTATGCAGTTGGTATTTTATCTTGGTATAAAGGGGTTATTCGGTATTCCCTTACCGATTTGTAAGTCACCGTGTCATTCAAGTCTGATTCAATCGTTGACCATATTTAGGGGTTGAATTAACCGGATTGGTGGGAACTGTGCGACTAAGACTCCAGATGGCCCCCGAGCCGCCATTCCTAAAAGCAGTTACTATTACGCTCATGGGAATCCCCAAGGTCGAAGCCGGTTGTACGCCGATGATGGAGCGTGGAGTCAACATTCTCAACCTACCGGTGATCTCCAACTTCGTCAACTGGGCCATCAAAGCTGCCGCTAGCATGTATGTCGCGCCGAAGTCCCTGACGCTCGACCTTGGCAAGATGCTATCGGGAGACGACATCCAGAAGGAAACTCAGGCTTTGGGTATACTTTTCATTCGAATCCATAAGGCCGTTGGGCTATCAAAGCAAGACCGCCGAGGCTCCGAGGGTGGTGGTTCTGACCCTTATATCACTGTCAGCTTCTCTAAGTTCGGCAAGCCTATGTACTGCACTCGCGTCATTCAAGATGATCTCAACCCCGTGTTCGAAGAGAGTTGCGCCCTTGCCGTGACCCCTGACCTCATCAAGGCAGACGAGCAGCTATCCATGGAGCTTTGGGACAGTGACCGCTCGAGCGCCGATGATGTTGTCGGCAAGGTCGAGCTTTCGCTACAGAAGCTAATCCAGCACCCCGGCAAAATGTACCAGCAAGTCTCTAGGCTGCGCGGCGTTAAGGCCGACAGCAGCATGCCGGGTGAGCTACACTGGGAAGTAGGCTACTTTACCAAGACGCAATTCCGCGCCGGTCTACGAACGGACGGCAAGGACATCACCTTACCGACGGAGATCCGAGATAACAAGGAATTACAAGACGACAAAGGCGCCATCCAGAACAACGAGGAAGACGCTGTTGTGCATACACCTCCAGACCCATTGTGGCCTTCTGGTATCCTCAGCGTTGTCGTCCACCAAATCGTTAACCTCGAGCTAGCCAATGTGAAAGGCTCAGAAGGCGGAAAGAGAAAGGGTGGAAGGGAATACGAGCCCGCCCGCGATGCCGGGGAGATTAAAGAGGAATCTAGCAAGAAGCTGCCGAGTGCTTACTGCACTATCTTGCTCAATGACGAACTGGTAGGCTTTCCAGTCGGCGCTAACTATGCTGCTGCTAATATCGCGCAGGTCTACAAGACTCGTACGAAGGTGGTCTCTTCGAAGCCCATCTTCAACGCCGGTACCGAAAGATTCGTTCGGGATTGGAGGTCTGCTATTCTTACGGTCACGGTTCGTGACTCGCGTAATAGGCAGCACGATCCTATCATTGGTGTCGTGCCTTTGAAGATCTCTGACCTTATGCAGACTAGTAGTCAGGTAGGTCGAGCGCATTGTATGTGTCACCCTTTGGGCTGCAAGCTAATATTAGGAACTAGGTCACTCGATGGTATCCCTTGGACGGCGGAATTGGCTTTGGCAGAATCCGCATCTCCTTACTATTCCGATCCGTCGAACTAAAGCTCCCCCCTTCACAACTGGGCTGGGATGTCGGTACATTCGAATTTACTTCGGATAAGATTATCTCGACCTTTACAGGCTCAGGCAAGGGCAAGATAAAGTTGAAGCTTCGGACAGGTAGTTCTGCAACCGTTAAGCGTGAGCAATGCTCTGCCGAAGGCGAGATCGTAGACTGGAACATCAACGGCGTAACTAATAACGGACGCCCTCGTCTTCCTGTCCGATACCGCTACCGACCGATCACCTGTATTCTTCGAATTCCACTTACCCGGAAAGCGGCACGTGGAATACTTCTCAGCGGTATGGCTACCGGAGCTCGTCGACAACGAAGACACGGACTTCGATATTCCCGTCTGGAGATGTAACAACGCAACGCGCCTATCGCAAAACTACATCACGGAGGAGAACTTCCACTCAATCCCAGACCTCAAGATCGAAGAAGTCGGACGACTGCGGTTCCGCGGGCGTTTCAAGGCCGGCACAGACCGCGACCATCTGCGCTTCGTCAGCGACAACGACTCTCGCGAAACCATCGAGACCTGGGAAGCCTGCTTCGCAGAGGGCGTGCGCCAAGAAGAAGTCACCAAAGAACTACCCCCCGCCGTGCGGAAATTACACGAGGACTCCTTAACCAAAGACCGTGATGTCCTTGCCACAGTCTCTGAGGAAGACCGGCGCAGGTGGCTCGCGAGAGACGGCACAGACTGGACCGGTGCTTTCGGCCAGGATCCCGCCGCCATAATGACTGGTGGCGACGGCCGCGACGAGACGGAATACGAAACCGACGCGACATCAGAGGACATACCAGACACGCCAGACCTACCAGACGTCCCCGACACAACGGACGAAGCAACCCCCATGCCCCTCTCCACCAACCCCATCGCCTCCGCCTCGCTCCCCCACAGCAACACCGACCTAGGCATCCAAGACGCCACCACCACCACATCTCCCCGCGCCAGCAACGACGACAACGCCCCCGGCCGACCCAGCACCAGCGCCAGCACCGGCGCCAGCAGCATGGCGAGCCAGAGCACAAACGCATCGGGACATAGCCGAAGTAGCCGCAACCCGATTACCCAGTACAAGGAGTACCGGGACCGGAGCCGGGACTTGCACCGGCAGCATCGGGGGCTGATGCAGTGGCGGCCGTTGCGCAATGCGCAGTTTGCTAAGGACGAGGCGAAGTTTGCGGTTAGGAGGGTTACGAGGATGGGGGCGTTGAATGGGCGGCAGCCGGATGTTGAGACGGAGGTTTGAGGTGAAGTGGGGTGTGTTGGTGTATTGGTTTCTTTTGTTACTGGGGGGGAGGTTGTGAGTGTGTATGAGGATCGATGGACGGAGGGACCTTGAAAGGAGATGGCTTTTGAGGATGTTTTAATATTGTATACTGTACTTAACGCATACTGGGTTTATAGCATGAGACACGAAATCAAAAATGTAGTAATTAACATATACATATATCATTATACGAAGATTTGGTGAATCATTGGTATCATTGATGGTATGTAATCCAACTAACTAACGTGGGCTATAATAAGTTTCACGACACACGTCTTGAGAGATGGCGAGAAATATAGCATAAGTATCTCTACCTAGATCTAGAGGGCAGCGAAGACACAACTACAACTCATTTCAGAAACTTAAAACTGATACTATGCTTTCAAGCGATTCCAGGTTTCTAGTAAAAGAAGTGTAGGCCAACAAGATAAACCATGTACCTTTAGGGTAAAGGAGGTCACGGGGAATAGGATGTGGTCATGATCGATCTTCCTTGACGCAAAATTGAGATAAGCCATGGGGATCAAGGCAGATATCTCAGAGTGTATGCAAGGAGTGGAAACTGAAGTATAGAAAGGGAAATAAAGGAGAGAGAAAAGACTATGCATGTCTTCTGATTGTTATTTTTATTCATTCAGTACCTGATAAGTAAGGTAGACATCCCATCATGGATGCCCCCTTCTCGCAGAGACGCGGTATATACTTCCTTTCTCGATATACATATATATCCCCTGCAGTTTTATGCGCTTAGCATCGTCTGCGTATGATACACATCTTAGTACAGGTAGAGTGACGAGTCGAACGTAGTAAAAAGAGGTTCTCTCGAAAGGTTTGTTGTTGTTGTAGCTGTAGTTGCTCTTGGCCAGCTTTTTATATCAACCACCTCTTTTTTTATTGGGGCAGAAAATTTTTCTCCGGCCTAAAATAGATAGGGAAGAAGACAGGGGTGAGAGAGAGAGAAATTAGTGGTCCCCCCGGTTATCTTAATCGTTGGCCATCTTGATAGCATCGGCTTCTTGGCGAGCTATAGCCAGTATGCGCTCCTCGCGCTTCACATCGTCGATATACTTCTTCATGATTGATCGGTCGATGGCAGCCTTCTCGTTAAGTTCTTCGATTTGCCGCATCTCGACTTGCTCGTCGGGTGTTGGATGGATGAGAGTGGCACCAGTCTTGGTCATGAATTCGCTGAGGATCTCATCCGAGTGCACGTTTTTCATGTCTATCGTCACGACACGCTCTCTCCTTCCTCGGGCTCGGGTGCTGGGTGCTCGTTTGAGACGCTCGAGTGCGGTTGCCGTGCTAGCGGTAGCTCACTAAGCTTGGTGGTTAGGGCAGAAGGGGTATTGGAGTCCAGCGAAGCTTGTCGGAAGTAGATGGACATCTTGGCCGGGGCTGATTGATCTGACGTTCGGTTTACGAGCATGGGTATCGCGGGGTTCCAGAATTTTAGACGTGGGAGACAGGTCTTCCAAAATTTCCTATAATCAAGAGAAAAGACAAATTGCTAGTTAGCAAGCAGTCGATCGTGAGAGCGAATTAGAGGTTAGCAATGCAAAGCAGCATACCTCGGTCCCAAGTGTCCGTCATTCCACTTCAATGCAAAGTCCAAATGTATCCGCGTGATCTCGGGTGGTAATATTGCTGCTCCTGGGCCATGTCGTAATGCGAGTAGCTAGAGGGGATTCGCATCAGAATGTGTGGGCTTGTATTTTAATTGGTTATGCGGTTTACCTTCTGAATATTAATGTGTTAGCAGCAAGCAATTTCGAGAAGGATAGAAAAATAATTGAGGGTATATGCTTACGGCTTGCAATATGTGCATCCGCTTTCCCGGGTTCACCATCTTGATTAACCGTCCTGCGAGCTTTTCTTAGCTCGCTATTCAGTTTTCAATTCGGCTGTCGCAAAGTCGAAATGGTATGCCTTAAGTTTACTTAAGGTTTTGTGTCAAGAGATTTTTAGTATGTTAGAGGTAGAGCTTTATTAACCTTACATCTCAACTTTGCGTTAGTTATTTCAACCTTACGCTAATAGGTTCTAAATTAATAAAAAATTAATGAAAAATTTTTTATAAATATATTATTTATTTTTTAATATATTTTATTTATTTTATTTATTTTAATATATTTTATTTATTTTATTTATTTTATTTTTTTATTTATTTTATTTATTTATTTATTTTATTTTTTTTTATTTATTTTATTTATTTTATTTATTTTATTTATTTTTCTTTATTTTTTATTTTTTTTTTTTTTTTTTTTTTTTTTTTTTTTTATTTTTTTTTTTTTTTTTTTTTCTTTTTTTTTTTTTTTCTTTTTTTTTTTTTTTTCTTTTTTTCTTTCTTCTTTCTCCTTTCTTCCCCTCCTTCTTCTCCTCCTTTTTCCTTCCCCTTCTCCCTCCTTCTCCTCCCCTTTCCTCCCCTTCCTTCCTTCCCCTCCCCTCCCCTCCCTCTCCTGTCCTCCCCTTCCCTCCCCTTCCTTCCTTCCCCTCCCCTTTCTCTCCTTCCTCCCTCTTTTTTCCCCCCTCCCTCCCTCCCTTCTCCTTCCTCCTCTCCCCGGTTTTCTTTCCCTCCTCCCCCTCCTTTCCCTCCCCTCCCTTCTCCCTCTCTCTCCTCTTTCTCTCCTTTTTTCTCCTTTTTCCTTCTTCTTTCCCTCCGCTCTTTTTTCTTCTTCCTTTCCTCTTCTTTTTTCTTTTTTTCTTTTTTCTCCTCCTTTTCTCCTTTCTTTCCTCTCCCTCCTCCCCCCTCTCTCTCTTCCTCCCCTTCCCCTTCTTCTCCCCTTCCCCTCCTCTCCTCTCCTCCTCTCCCTTTTCTCCTTTCTTCCCTCTCCCTCCTCCCTTTTCTTTTTTTCCCCCCCTTCCCCTCCTTCCCCCTCCCCCTCTCCCCTCCTCCCTTCCCCTTTCCCCTCTCCCTTCTTCCCCTCCCCCTCCTTGCCCTCCTCCTCTTTCCTTTCTTCTTTCTCCTCCCTCTCTTCCCCCCCTCTTCTCCCCCCTTCCTCCCCTCTTTCCTCCCTCTCTCCCTCCCCCCCCTTCTCTTCTTCTGTTCTTCTCCTTTTTTTTCCCTCCTTTCTTCCTTTTCCTTCCCCTTCCTTCCTCCCCCTCTCCCCCCCTCTTCTTCCTCCCTTCCTCTTTTTCCTCCTCTCCCTCCTCCCCTCCTTCCCCTTTCCCCTCCCTTTTTCTTCCCCTCCCCCCTTCTTTTTTCTTCCTTTTTTTCTCTCTCCTCTCCTTCTTCCTTTCCCCTTCTTTCTCTTCTTTTTCTCTTTTCTTCCCCCCCTCTCTCCCTCCTCTGTTTTCCCTTTCTTTCCCGTTTTCTCTTCCCCCCTTTTTCCTCTCTTCCCCCTCCCCCTTTCTTCCTTTTCTCTTTTCCTTTTCTCTTCCTTTTCTTCCTTTTCTTTTCTCTTCTCTTCTCTTTCTTTTTCCTTTTCCTTTCCTTTCCTTTTCTTTTCCTTCCTTCCTCTTCTTTTCTTCTCCTCCTTCTTCTTCTCCTCCCCCCCCTCCCTCCTCCTCCCCCCTCCTCCCCCCCTCCCCTCCCCTCCCTCTCCTCCTCCCTCTCCTCCTCCCTCTCCCCCCTCTCCCCCCTCTCCCCCCTCTCCCCCCTCTCCCCCCTCTCCCCCCTCTCCCCCCCTCCCTCCTCCTCCCCCTCCTCCCCCCTCCCCTCCCCTCCCTCTCCTCCTCCCTCTCCTCCTCCCTCTCCCCCCTCTCCCCCCTCTCCCCCCTCTCCCCCTCTCCCCCCTCTCCCCCCTCTCCCCCCTCTCCCCCCCTCCCCCCTCTTCCCCCTCTCCTCCCTCCCCCTTTCTCTTCTCCTTTCCCTTCTCCCTCCCCCTCCTTCCTTCCCCGTCTCTCTTCCTTCCCCCCCTCCCCTCCTTCTCCTCTCTTTCTTCCTCCCTTTCTCCTCCTCTCCTTTTTTCTTTTTTTTTTCCCCCCCCCCCCCTTTTCCTTTCTTTCCTCCTTCCCCTCTCCCTCCCCTTTTTTTCCCCTTCCTCTTCTCCTTCTCTCTCTCTCTCCCCCCTCTTCTTCGTCCCTTCCTTCTTTCCTCCTCTCCCTCCTCCCCCCTCCTCCCCCTTCCTCCTCCCCTTTTTTCTTCCCCTCTCCTTTCCCCTCCCCTCTCCCCCCTCTTTTTTCTTCTCTTTTTCTCTCTCCTCTCCTTCTTTCTCCCTTCTTTTTTCCTTCCTTCCTTTTCCTCCTTTCCCCTTCTTCTTCCGGGTTCCCCTTCGTCCCCCTCTCCGGCTTTCCTCCCTTCCCTTTTCTTCCTCTCTCCTCCGCTTCCCCCCGCCCGGCTTTCTCCTGTGTGGTGCGTCCTTCTCCTTCTCCTTTCTTTTCCCCCTTATCCATTCCTTGCCTTGGGTCCTGTTTTAGTCTCTCTTTTGTCTGTTCTCTTGTTACCTCTGCTTTAGCGGTGCTCCTTCTCCTCCCTTCCTCCCCCCTCTTCCCTCTTCTCTCCCTCCTTTCTCTTCCCTCCCTTTTTTTTCTTTCTCTTCCCCTTTTTTCCCCCTTCTTCTCCCCCCTTCCTCCCCTCCTTCCTCCCTCTCCCCCCCTTCCCCTCCTCTCCTCCTCTCCCTTTTCTTTTCCCTTCCTCCCTCTCTCCCCCTCTCTTCTCCTTCCCCTTTTTCCCCTCCCTTCCCCCCTTTTTCTTTTTTTTCTCCTTTTCCCTCCCCCCCTCTCTTTTCTCTCTCTCCTCCTTTTCCTTCCCCTCTTTTCCTCTCTCCTCTCTCTTTTTCTCTCTCTCTTTCTTTCCCCTCCCCTTTCTTCTTTCTCTTCCCTCTCCTCCCCGCTTCTTCTCCCCCCTTCTTCCCCTCCTTCCTCCCCCCTCCCCCCTCCCTCTTCTCTCTCCCCTTTCCCCTCTTTCTTCTTTTTCTTTCTTTCCCTCCTTCCTCCTCCCCTTCCCTTCCCTCCCCTTTCTTCTTTCTCTCCTCTCCCTTCTCCCCTTCCTCTCCCCCCTTCCTCCCCCCTTCCTCCCTCTCTTCCTTCCCCCTTTTTCCCCTCTTTCCCCTCCTTCCCCTCTCCCCCTTCCCCTCCTCTCCTCTTTTCCCTTTCTTCCTTTCTTTCCTCTCCCCTTTCTTCTTTCTCTTCCCTCCCCTCCCCCCTTCTTCTCCCCTTTCCTCCCTCTTCTCTCCCTTCCTCCCTTTTCCCTTCTTCTCTTCTCTTCCTTCCTTCCCCTCCTTTCTTCCTTTTCTCCTTCTTCCTTCTTTCTCTTCTCTTTCTTCTTTTCTTCTTTCTTTTCTTTCCTCTTTCCTCTTTCTTTTTTCCTTCTTTCCTTCCTCCCCCTTTCTTTCTCCCCCCTCTTTTTTCTCTTTCCCTTTTTCCCTCTTCTTCTCCCCCCTTCCTCCCCCTTTCTCCTCCCTTTTCTTCTCTCTCCTTTCTCCCTCTCTCCCTTTTTTCTCTCCGTTTCTCCCTCTCTCTCTTTTTTTTCCCTTTTCCCCTCCTTCCTTCCCCCCCTCCTCCCCCTCTTCTCTTCTTTTCCTTTCTCCCCCTCTCTTCTTTTCTTTTCTTTTCCTCTCTTCCCCTCTCCCCCTCTTCCCTCCCCCCCCCCCCTCTCTTTCCTCTCCTTCTCTCCCTCCCCTTCCTCCCCTTCCTCCCCTTCCTCCCCTTCCTCCCCTTCCTCCCCTTCCTCCCCTTCCTCCCCTTCCTCCCCTTCCTCCCTCTTCTCTCCCTTTCTTTTCTTCTCCCTTTCTTTTTTCTCCTCCTTTTCTTCCCTTTCTTCCCTTTTTTTCCTTTCTTTCCCCCCTTCCCTCCCCTCTTCCCTCCCCTCTCTTCTTCCCCTCCCCCTCCCCCTCTTCTTCCCTTCCTCCCCCCTTTCTCTTTTCCCCTCCTCTCCTCTTTCCCCCTTTCTTTCTTTCTCTCCCCCTTTTTCCTTTTCTTTTTCCTTTTTTTCCCCCCTCCTCCTCCTCCCTCTTCTCTCCCCTCTTCCCCCTCCTCTTTCTCCCTTTCTTCCTCTTTTCCCCTTTTCCCTCCCCCTCTCTCCTTCCCTCTCCTCCCTCCTCCCCTTTTCCTTTCTTCCTTTCTCCTTTTCTTCCTTCTTTTCTTCCTTTTTTCTCTTTTTTTTTTTCCTTTTTCCCTCTTCCCCCCGTTTTTTTTTTTTTAATCTTAAGGATTGTGTCGCCCTTCGGGGTGGCCTCCAGTAAACTTTTGGTATTCGCAGTCGCAGTCGCAGTGGGCGCATTGAAAAGTGATCCTGGTTCAAGTGCGGGCCGCTAAATACTCCCGAATTCATTTTTCGGGGGTATCATTAAATCAGATATAGGCCCCATATAATTTTGACCTCCCCCCTTTAATCACTCCTGAACCGAATAGGGGGGGAATAGGACTTATAGTGTAAGATTATTATGACAGTGACTATATATTTATTTTCAGCTTCAAAATCTCTTATAGGTTTTGTATTGCCCAACTTGTGACATTAACATATCATTATTCATTTATAAATCCATTTATAAATCCACCAGTTACTTCACAGTAGTTGATGATACCATATATATAAAATATATAACCTAGAGGAAAGGATACTTTCAGTATGTGTAACTATGTACGAACTTCTATAGCTAGGGCTAGAGTCCCTTACGGATAGATAAAGTTGTTTCCATGCTTCTTACTCTATTCCGTGATTAGGTTCTTTTGACTAACCCGACATCTCTTCCATTAGCAACGGTTTCTTATCAGCTGTTAAAGTTGTAATTTTGAAAGGCGAGAAAACTTACTGTTGCCTCTCAATAATAGCGTAGACATAACGAGCACTAAGAGAGAAATTTGCTAAGACTGGAAACCCATACGGAAACGTAGGAAATATTTGTATTTGGATGGCTTATCTTTACATAGCTGGTAAGGTACGGTTAAACAAGTATTATGTTAAGT